TCTCGCATCCTTAACCGTCCTCTTATATGCTCAGAATTCTAAAAAGATATCCTTGTGCTAATAGAAATCTTCGAGGTAGTTCTCCATAGAATTCAGTGTGCTCATCGTATGACTCCCATACTGCGTCATTAACTGAAAGTCGATTAAGCCTCCTATAGATTTCAATGCCTTTGCGAATTCATCCCTAATCACAAACCCCGGTTTCTCAAAGCAGCTGCAAGTGCTCCAAGAACGACCCATCCCAGATTTCTCATCTCCTTCCCTTGCCATTGGGTTGTGTCACGATATGCTTTGTTCGGTACTGCCAGTCCAGCGTAAGGCGCAATCGAGGCCCAAGCCTTGTCAAATTCCTCCAATCGATTGTGCTTCTTCAAGAAAGCCTGAACCCACTACATCAAGTGCATCAACATCCCTAGGTAGATGTTGTGCAGAATGTCCAGTTTGTTGAGATCGTATGGATTAACCTTTGGCATACTCCAGAAAATATTGAAGATTGTGTTTACTGATCTCGCGACAATGTATTCCACTAGTCCGAAGTTTCCCAGGTTCTCCCTGAACAGCTTTACCCTCTCCCAGTACTCTTTGTGATCGCGCATAAGGCTCTGACGAATGCTGCCAAGACTGTGAAATTCCATCTCCTATTTTGGACAAGAACTAATACTAATATTTTGTAAGTTTGCATGCTCAGATTGATCAGCGGTCCAACCCGACAGCACCAGAAAGTATAGACATTCATACCCATCGGTGTATGCGATTAGCTCTCCTTCCTGATAGCACTCCCGAATACTCTGAAAGATGTTCCCAAGGGCGCGATACAGTGCCATTTGACTCTGACGTTGTAAAGCGGAATTAGCGAGTGAGTTTTTCTCGAGCTTAGATGGGACTGGCATTAGCCCTAGGAGAATTAATGAATGCCCGGTGGGCTTGTTCCGGACCGATGACTTGATGTTCCCGATGGTAAGATAGATTGGCCAGGCTTTCTTATCTCCACTAAAATTTGTCATATGTGTGCCATCAGACACGCATATAATTGGTACCACAATCGACCCCTCCGGTAAGGTATTCTGTCCAGAAAGCAATAGCGATTGCTCATAGTGCACTTGTGACGCTTACCGGACATGCGTCTCCCATGATCAATCTCCTGTATATATTTCCCCGTACATTCTCTCGCCAGATTCATTATGCTCTACCACTAGCGCGTACACCAATGACTCCCGAAAGGCCCGTTAGCATAGAAGATATTGCATAATTACCATTGGATCCCGGTAATAGTAAGAGATTTTCTCTCCCCAAATATCTACTTCTGAATGATGCCAGCTCACCTTTCCCAATATGTCATTCATTTCCTTCAACCATTTTATAAAACCTCACCCAGTCCTATAAGAGCATTCGTGACTGCTTGACGGAGCGTGTAGAAAGAAACTGTTGATATTTGCTTGTGAGGCCTTCGACAGTATAAGATAACGTCCCATTCTCAACTCACATTCTGAGTTGAATGAGTACAATGGATATCGGATAAGATTTTCTGATCATTCTTCGTAGTCCTCCGACCGGTAGAGAAGCTCCCCAGCACTCTATTAAATCTTTGTCACTGCCAAATGCCTATTTGCATCTTCATCTGCCTCTCCAGCACCTAGCCAGAATGCATCCCAGGGAGCACTTCGGGCCCCCCAGAGAGCACCCCTAACACTCTTATGGTCTAGGTCCTCTGCACCTGTTTATCCTCATGAGTATACCTCATCTACATGTTATATCAATTTTTCATCGATACGCTCTCGATACGGGGAGTCGTCCGCCACTTACCGGGCATATCGTTCTTCACCGCCTAACGAGGTAATTGGCAAGAAATCTGTGAGCAGTCGTCGGGTTCCTTCAAGTGAACTTCACGGTCAAGGTAGATCGCAAAGAGTCTAAGAAATTGCGTACCTTCCCTCATATAGGGAGGAGGATGAGAGTTTTCCGATGCCGGAAAGTGATGGTATTTTGATTTTGAAAAGTGAGGTTAGTATTCTGGAGGATACTCAACACGTCTTTGAGAACACTGGGGACATTTCTTTGAGCCAATTAACTCAGAGGTTTATGGTTCCTAACTCTGGGAGTGCAAATATCCTGTTAGTGAAGGCTCAGAGAATTGATAAGGAGTGAAGCGTGTTAATCGGGGGGCATACTCTTCTACATGAGCCTTTTCCACCTGCAGCAAGATTGTCGGTACTGGTAGTGAGCATGTGGGCAACTGCAAGTCGCCGAGTGGGGTGCAGAGTAGACCTTGATGAGGTCGTTATTAAATAGTTGAGTGACCCCAAAAGGGATTACGAGTGCTCTGAAAACATAATTGAGAATGATGGGTCAAAAGTCTGCATTTCCGTGTCCTTTCCTACTTTACGTATGAGGTAAAAGGGTACCTGGTGGACTTTACGATATATGGGCTTGGAAATCTTGTCGGTCCTGAGGTAAGGGCGGTTTAAGTAGAATGTCTTTTGAAGAATGATCGTTTCTTGAGCCCTCAATAGTATTACAAGGTATGATGGATTCCCAGACAGTGCACGTGATAACTGCCGACAGATTCTAGACCAACCAACTGCGCTTCCTGGCTCCGGAAATCATCGATATAGTGTATTTTAAATACTTTAATAGAGTATGAATGGGAGGGATATTGGATCCCAAATTTCTTGTCATGGCTCGACCCCCCCCACCTGCCCTGTCGATGAGAACGCCACGGAATCGGATTGTTAGGTGAAGGATCAGGATGGCTTCGGTTAGGTTGGATATGTTAGGAAAGTGTTCAGATGATACAGTAAGCGCTAGGCGCTTCGGGTTAGGTTGTAGGGAAAAGGATCGGGATCGGCTGTGGGATGTTATTATTTTCGTTCGATATTTGTTTAAGTGTGGTGGCGAGGATTAGTTATTGGGTTATTCTTTGGGGTTTATATTTGAGGCTTTGTTTCTGTTATTGGTATTTTCCTTCTTTCTTCTTTACGCAACGTCTTCATTCTGTTTGTTAGTAAAATTCTATTCTATTTCGATCGGTATTCAGCTCGGTCCCCTGTCCTCATCTTAGAACATATCCTAGTCAATTCTTGCTTCGGTACCTACCCACATCCTTGTTATTGAACCCCGCCCCGTTAGATTTCTAGAGCGGATAACCCCTACCCTTATTTGTTTGATATCGATGGCGATCTGGCACGGTATTCAGGCGTAGTCAAGAGGGAGTTACTTGAAGCCTGATAATTTTCAGTCGCAGAATGAGAATGTTGTGAGTAAGTATGGCCTGATGCTCTCATTGATATGGTGAGTAACTTGGAAGCAATGGCGGATGCTCCTAGAGCTATACGGGATTGCCGAGCTGACATTCAAACTCAAGTAGAAACGTTCAATAGGATGAGAAATACTTAGAAGAGGAGAAGCAAACAGAACGAGGAGGCAACCTTGAAGGTAATCAAAGATAACCTTCGAGAAATAGTATAATACTTCTAGATGCCGGTAATGCGATTGGTATTCTAAATGCTAACCTTAATAGATATGAGATATAAGGGGGGTAACTATTGAGGTAATACTGGAGAAGGGTTTTAGTGAGAATCATGAAGCTCTGGCTGCAGATCTTGCTGTATTCTGAAATGCTCGGAGAAAACTGACGAGTGCTCCAGGAGGTCAGGTTGGTGCCGATATTCCGCAGGACGAAGTCATTAATGCCCAACTTCATGGCATTGACACCGAACAGTAGGGGGACCAGGAAGAATAGGAGTCGCAATTATCTATAGCGGGGGATTATGAAGAGGGTGGGGGGCAGGATGTGTAGACCAATTCCGAGTGCTAAGGGAGATAGTGGGGGATTTGTTCTTTTCCGTATATTGTATTAGGGTTAGTTAGGGTATTAAATGGTGTATTGAATTTAGTATTAGGCGGATGATCACGGTATTGAATACACAAATTCTAAAAGTAAAGTCGCGGGTGCTCTGGAGTCAGTAGAAATTGTCGTGCGTCTGATGTTTTGGTAATCTCATTGGGGAATTGTAAATACCAGAGGCCGGTACGGCAGAGAGGTGTATGCCTGGACAGAATGGGGCGCTGACATAGAGGAATCGGTAAGTCAGGCATGAGCTAGGTTTCAAAGCACTCGATCCAGCAACGTCAGGAGGGGTCAGAGCGATCATTCTATCCCAGGGCCCGCTGGAGCAGTCAGGAGTACTCCAGGAGCATCCAGGATATACCAGCGAGCAACTGACATTCTCTGGCGACTGGACTAATGTTTAGGTTGCGCCCAGTGTTAGGATTAGGTGTCACAGTGGGTTGGGCAGACTAGTGTACACTGAAGCGGACAACTGTATGCCAGAACTTGCCAGGAGTGCTTGCCGTATCTCTGGAGAGGTAGTTTACCTACCGAGCACCCTGACCGCCCTGAGCACCCCGGGCATCTGGTGAAGGCTGCAGGTTTGCTGATGCAGTCCGTCCAAAGATCATCTCTTACTGCGTACTTGATTCCCTTATTTCTTCGCACCATCCATATTACAATGCTTTTATTGCCTTCTCGTCTTGGTCTGTATATAATATCAAAATTACTGTTCCCAACAGTAATTTCTGCATTCTCTAGCTCCACCGCACCCTCCATCATATTCTTCGCTCTAATATTCCCTATGTGTAGTTCCTGAATTGCAATAATATCCACACCCTTATCACTCTCCATCAGCCCATGCATATCGTTGATAGATTCGTTGCAGTTAAGCTGTAGAATTATAAATTCTCTAGGCATTGGCCCCGGTAGTGGACTTTTCGTGTACACTGAATGCTCCATTGCTGTTCCTCGTGGGTTCTACTGCCAGCCCTGTTGTCTTCCTCAACTACTTGTCTCTCTCCCCGCACCACTTCGATTGCGCTCCATACAGATCTTCATAATTTGCATACTTTAGAAACTGTTTGTGTGCTCTGCACCAGCCTCGTGAATTGCAGGTTTCTTTGAGGCATTTGTGTTGATCTGTTCTATTACCACTGTTTCCGCAAATACCTCATCTTACGCCGTTGGTCCCCCTTGCTGCGCAGTTCATATACAGGTGACCAAAACGACAACATGTGGTACACTGGATTTCTCTCATTACTGCCTTTGGAACATATTCTCTTGTGCGGTATTCCTTAACATCCTTCGCATTATAGGTATACCCGTCCGTTAACTTTACATCTTTTGCCAGCAGGCTTTCGCTAATTTGTCTTGTGGCAACGTGGATAACTATGTCCAATGTGCCTCTTTTCTTTGTATCCTCTCTAGTGAGCCAGTGTGGGGTCCTGCTTAGCATCACTCCGTTTTCTTGCTGGATATGCTCTTTAAGCTCTGATAGTTTGTCGTTCCACTCAGTACTTACTCTATAAACTACCACCCCAGCCCAATCTTTCGATTTCTGTGAGATCATGACCAAATCTTTAACCTCATCTTTGACCGAGTCCCCTTTAAGTGCGCTGTCAGCCACCTCCTTAGACTTAAAGGTTACTCGCAAGGATTTGGGTTTTCTTTTGTCATCACTGATAATCACAGCCTTTGCAATTTGGTTTTCGTTCAGCCCAAGACTCTCGATGAATTCATCTGCTGATGTTGTTTGGCTATTTAGCTGGTCGAGTTGCTCCGGCTTTATATCAACAATAATCTCCTTTTTCCTCATCATCTCTCTTCTTTCCGTGAATCTCTCCACCGGGTTTTTCCTCCTCTCCTCTCCAGCAATCCTCTAGTCCTTCCCGCTTTCCGTCCCTTTGTCGGTTTTATTGGTTGGGTAGGAGCCTAGTGGCATCAGGTTTGATCCTGTTACAGATCCTCTTGATATTCCTGGTCCGTGGACTTCCCTAACTGCGCTCCTGGGTTCGCCTTTAACTTGTACTTCTGCCATGTTTCTATTCTCGCGCCCTGTCCTGGTTTCTTTTCTGTTACTTTTGATTTCCTGCTCAGGAGCTTGGTTTCTTGTATTTCTCCGTTGCTTGGAATGCAAGAATGCCGCCTGCTCTCCTAGGAGTTTTGCAAATTGTCGCTGTAACGTCCTGATGGTTTCTATCATAATTTTGTGAACAACGCAGCGAATCTATATCCTTTTTTGGTATGTACCCAGGATGTTTATTCCGGCTCATTCATGAGGACAGTTCACTCGGGAAGTTTTGTGGGTGAGCCAGTTCATTCAAGTATTGATTATTATGGATAAAGATATTTGTGTCCTTATGAGCTGACTTTAAAATTGAATATATTTCGACTCTTCGAAGACAATGATATAAGCTAGGTGGGATCAGTTACAGCGTACTCCTCCGGTGTCTGGGAGTTTCTCTTTGAGTGTAAGCAATCACGGTCGGACCTTGTTCCTCATCAGTTTACCACTGACTTCGTGAGTGGACTGAAATTTTCCTGACTGAGCTGAAACATTCCGATATATATCTCACTTCTTGGGTGAACTAGTTCATTCACCAAACCCTGTGAATAAACTGCCTTCGTGGATGAGCCATAACAAAGTCACTATTAGATAGCGAAAACTAGTAGTAAAAACCTAGGAAGTATTGGTGACAGACGATTTATATTTATTTTTTCGTTGTGAAAGCTGGGATCCGCACACTTTAATTGACCTCAAGATAGACCTGTGTGGAGATTGATTCTCTCATGATTGAAATATCAAAAAATGTGCATCATTTTCCGACACCCTGGCCAACGGTATCAAATCGACATTCTAGGTCTTAATATAATGCAAACAACATTCCTTACTTGATCTACAGCAGAATAGAAATATCCTGGGAAATAACCTACACCATTCACATTGCCTCTCCTATCACGACAGGTTGAGCTATCCTGTAAATGGGCAGGCAGAGGCCTTGAATATCGTTATACGCTGAAATAAAAGTATAAAAGTAGGGACCCGATCGATTTTCCACACGAAATTTAGCCTTCAGTCAATGACGTTCTCGCAGAGAGGACCTCCATCACCCCGTCATGTCCACCAGCCACTGCCAGATCAAAAGGTGTATTATTATTAATGTCAATTGCTGTGACATCAGCTCCCTTCTCAAGTAGGAACTGAACCACATCTTTCCGCCCAGACGTCGCTGCTGTATGGAGAGCTGTATGCTTGTTGATGCTAGTTGCAGACATATCCATCTTAGCATTAAGGAGAAACGTGACCACGTGTAAGTGACCCCCATGCGCCGCAATATGTAGGGCCGTCCGCTGTGACACATCAGTTGCCTCAATGTTCACCCCACGGAGCATCAAAAGCTTCAACATCCCTAGATGCCCTCTAAACGCCGCGAAGTGGAATGGTGTACACCCATTATTGCTGGTAATGCTCATATCAGCCCCCTTGTCTAAGAGCACACTTGCAACGCTCTCCTGCCCCTCCCATGCTGCCGAATGTAACGGGGTATCCCCATCCTCTCCGACCGAATTCAGACCCGCCCCACGGTCAAGCAGCAGCTTAGCCACATTAACATGCCCCCCCATTGAAGCAAGATGCAATGCTGTAAAGCCGCCTCCGTCTGCGGTCACCGTCCCAATATCCACCTTTCGATCTAGCAGGCATGCCACCATCTTCTCGTTCCCGCTCTGCGCTGCAATATGAAGCACCGACAACCCCGCACACATTGTGGTGATATCCGCACCCTCATCGATAAGCATATCGATAGCCCATACCCATTCATACCCTTTTCGAACAGCTAAATGCAGCGGAGTATTCCCGTCCACATCTGGAATGTCTACCGTTGCTCCATGGGTGAGCAGGATATGAATACACTCCTTATACCCATTTGCAACAGCAAGATGTAGCAGTGTAGTGCCTCGCTGCAGCTCATCAACTTTAACACGGGCCTGCTTCAGTGCATGTTCAAGGCCCGCAGCGTTTCCATCCTTCACCGCCTTGTAAGCTGTAACAGCCTTTTGCGGACTCGGAGCTATTTCCAGCGTCAGTGACGAACTGTGTGGTATAAAGGAATAGAGAATACCAGTCTGCGTTGAGTCCTTTAACCAAACTTCGAGACGGTTGATTACGCTTTGATAGGCGGTCTCGTTTTGGCTCTTGAATTTTACCATTGTTGAATGATTTCCTGCTGCTGGCAGGGTGGTTTCTATCGTCTCCGGAAGCACCAAAATCGCAGACCCTGCCTCCACCGCAGTGAAAGCTGGCCCGCTTTTTGTCCACCGGCCATCCGCTCCCTGCTTCATAGTCAGAACTGGCACTCCCTGTATAGACACACGTACGCTCGGGAGCGTATACGCACCTGCTGCAACTTACGCGTCTGCTGAGTCTCTTTGAAGCTCACTATGCGCATTCCATGGCCCGCGGCAGATGTAATGAACTTATTCAACTCAGTCGCTAGTTCTTCACTCCCTTCCTCAAGCGACTTCACGAGGGCTAAGCGGGTTGACCCGTTGACCATCGCCAAAATATCGTCCACCAAGAAACCACGGTGGGGTGTTCCAAAAAACATCGTCGCTCGCGTGCGACGGAATAAGGAGCCGTGGCTATACTCGCTCTCTTTTGCCTTCACAAGCGCCTACCATCCCAACCGCCCCCACGATTAGTTGTCAGCATGTACCCTTCTTCAGACGGTCCCGCCAACTCGACCGGTAATCCGCCGACAACCACCACAAACCTGAGCAATGATGATTCCTCCAAAACCATGCCCGATAAACACCAGTTCTCTCTCCTTTTCCTAATGCTTCTATCAGCATCCCATTTGCCCACGATGTTCAACTGGTAACGGAGCATACCCACCTCCTCCGTCCTTCTTGCGTTCGTCACCTCCTCGAGAAAGGAGTCCCTGTAATCGGAGATCGTGTGTATTCCCTGAGTATCGGGGGAAAGATTACTGTCATACCCATAGATCATCGTCCTGCACCCCGGAACGTCCTCTGGTAGGAAGTGACGTAGCCACATTACCCGATCGCCGTCACTGTCAACCTCACCAGCCCAGGAATCATAGGCATGGCCGTTCAGCCCGCAAACAGCGATGACGCTATATTTCAATGGGCGTTAACATATCTTATCTTGGGGTTATGGCTTGGACACGCTGGGGGGTTCGGTTTTGGGGGAAGGGGGGGGGGGTAGTAGGAACGGATGACGCACTCAGCACGGATAGGGGAGTCCTCGGGGGTGGGATAAAGCTGTGTCAAGCCGTAAAAGTCACGGTCGATAGAAATTCGGCGGCCGGTGCTTACAAGCTTGAGAGCGTGGGTACCGCCATGCTTCAAAGTGGTGAGCACTGGTGGAGGGGAGGAGAAATGTATGAGGGCTGTTAGGTAACGACTATCGGGGGAAGGGCACAAAGCGGTCAGGTTAGGCTTCAGTGTTGGGAAGTTTGAGAGGGTATCGTGTAGGTCACTGATGGTTGTGCCGATGGGAATGGAAGTCACTCTGAACACAGTGCCTGGGGCAGCCGCGCGGGGGATAGCCACCGGAAGCGCAGACGAGGAAGCAGTCAAAACTGGAGAGATTGAATCGGATGTAGCTGAGGAAGACGTCGGAACAGGAGAAGGGGAACGGGATTTAGAGGGGCGGCCGGTCAATGAATTTAAAAATTCACGGACTTGTGACGGCGGAGAGGCCATGGTTTTTGGTTGACGTTGTTCCATCAGGAGTAGTGTGAGAGGCATGACGGAGTGACGAAAGGAACTACGGGAGATTACCCTTAAATGCTTGACATCTTGTCGTTTGCGCCACATATGTGGCAGTGGTCTGTGGGGTTCGGTCCCCCTACAAGTATAGTAAGTGTAACTTCATACGGTCTAGAGAGGTACCTACATGGGGTGCAAATCTATCAATTATTAATCTGGACAGATGAGCTTGATACCTATCCGTTAATAGCTGGGAGGTATTAAGATTGATATGAGTATTATTAACACCTCCTCAGTAAGAAAGGGACCGGCAAAACGTCTTCCCCCAAGCTCTCAGCTTCCTGGACAGGGAGACACGTCATGGTCTAGAATACATAAGTAGGTTATCATTATTTTCGTTTGAGACATAGTTGATGCCGAAAGAACTGCTTTAGGAACGCTTGCGCACAGATCGGGACACTGATCGGAGTTCCATACCTTTCGCATCACCGGGGATAGATTACTTTGCATAAGTGCGGGGTAAGGTGGGGTTTGACAATAGGCCTTTTGCGCAGACAGAGCTGAACTTGTATGATCGATTGGTTGATGGGAGAAACGGCGCCAATCAGGTCACCAGAACTTAGATTGCGCAAAGGCCCGAATAGGTTCAAATACCGAAGTTGTTATAGACGATAATTTGACCTGGTTCCAAACAACACTGAGTCACAATTTTGTTCCCTGACAGCAGTATTTGAGAATATTCGCGGCGCCTCAGTAAGGGTATCCCTTCGTCTGTTAGCTAATTGCCGTCACCCCAAGAAACAGAAAATCCGGTGCGGCTTTACTAACTGATCTCGTTTTCTCTCTTCCCTTGGAGCGGTGAGACATGCAGATTGCCCGCCTTCCAGATACGAGAGGTCGAAGCAGTGGCTAAGTCACTTCGCCTTTGTGGCTTTACTGTGGCGAAGTTACTGAGCCACCGCGTATACCTCCTAAGAACGGAAGGCGGGGAATCTGCATGTCTCACCGCTCCAAGGGCAGCATTGACAGACGAAGGGATAAGGCAACCATACGCAGTGTTTGGACGTCAATATGCAAGACTTTGGTGCATGCAGGATGCGTATCAGATATCACTTTTTGGATTCCGTGCTTAAGAATACGCCGTCAAATACTTAGAATACCAATCCTTAAAATTATTCTTTGCGAGTATTCCTCATACCATACAGGGCAAGGTCCCCCTAATGCGTGTAGGGTGGTCTTGGGTAACACCTCTCAGGGTCGTTGGCAAAAACACACTAGTGCGTATCATATATTACTTTTTAAGTGCTTTTAAGAACACGCCGTCAAATGCTCAGAATACCAGTCTTCAGAATTATTCCTTACGAATAATGGAGGTCAATATCAGCGCGGGATGGCACCATTAGGTAGTCCATCCGCAGTCGCATAAGCCAAAACAGTACTATGTACTACATAGACCTCTTATGCCGAGACCGAAAAAAGAAAAACAAGACCGCGACCAGGACCAGGACCAGAAGACGACATGCAACTGGACTGACTGCGGCGGCGTCAGTCAATTGAGCTTCGATTCTGCCGTCAGAGCATGCACCTCTTTCTATGTAAATGCCTGGACGTAAATCACCGTTGCGAAGCAAAACCACACCAAAGAACGCCAAACCCAGCCATTTTCAAATAGCCCCAGAACCCACCATTTTAAGATATAACTTATACCAATCAGTAAAAGATAACTTAACAGTTAGGAGAACCATCTAGGAGTATTAAATTCCAAAAATAATCATTGCAGCATGGGTGGTAGAGCATTTCGTTCGATTGTTCTCAGACAATATGCCAAGACCTCGAATTTATATGGGGTCTTGGCAAAATTCGGCCAAATCTCACTCCTGTGTCGCTTCAGAGCGTCTACTAGCCGGAGGTAGTGGTTATGGTGTTTTCAATGCAGCTCACAGAGGTCATTGTAAAGGTATGAAACGTACAAATGTGAGAGCACGGCTATTAACTGGGTTTCCATTGATCAAGGTCATCGGGCAAGTTGAGTAAATCCTTTTTTTGTGTTGCAACGGTGGCGACTTAGAAGTTCTACTGTCCAGATTAACTGCTGCATATAATAACACATCCAGGAATATTTACTACTGGTTTTAATGTGAGCTTAACTGTCACTGTCACTAGCACTAGTGAGTGAAAATTGTGCTATAAATGGCACGCCGATCCCAGAGGATTAATGAAGCTCTCTGAACATAATTTCCATCGAGTAGACCTTTTAACTTGCCAGAAAAGACGCCATAGGTTTAATGCGGACCTTTCGTATCTGCACCCCATTCTGTGACTACAGTGTATCATGCTGCACACTCATCCCACCGGGCAATACCCTTCGGACTGCTGAGACATTGGCTCGTCTTTTCGAGCCTTTGTACTCCACAAACCTGGTTTAAAGATCCCCCCAAACCCCGTCGTTGAACCACCCACATCCAAACCCCAAGTCTCCAGTACCTCTCCGAGCCTCTAACCCACGCACCACTACACCCCACATCCGAGAATGGACTCCGACAACGTCAATGCGCTCCGCGACCAGATCGCCGAACTGACACTCAAGATCATACTGCTGGGGGGCCAGACCGAGGAGCTCTTGGACATCGTTCAGGGCAAAGGCGATCGCGAATGGCCCATCCCCACCCCACACATCGACATCGAGCAGGAACGCCTGCCTCCTAACGGTCCCCACCCACCGGCATACCCGGGAAGTAAAGCCCCCCTTCCCTCCCATCCTCGTTGGGTCAGTTAAATTCACGTATTCTAATCAACCTTCGTTAATTGCAAAGACTGCAACTGTCAGTGCCGGTCCCTCGTCCGCGGCCCAAACACAGTAGGTTAGTAGTCACCAGCCAGCGCAACTCCCTTCCGTCCCGATCCCGTCACTAACCCCTCCCCTCCCCTCCCCCGGCAGGCCGCGGCGTCTACCTCGGGCTCGTGAGTGCCGGCGACGTCGCGAACCTCGGTGAGCACGCCCTCAAGGACCTAGATGACGGGCTCAGAGCTATCGTGCTGCACCTCGTGCCGCGCAGGGCCGGGGCACCCGCCGGGACTCTCCAATCGGGCCCATTCCAGCGGGCCAGAGACGAGATGATCGCGCTGCTCAACAAGGTGTCGCTGCGGGTGGATCCGTTGCCAGGTGCGGCGGCGCCCCATTTTGCCTCGTTTAGAAACATCGCCAGGGGACGGCACTTGAGGTTGGCGGATGCAAGGCAGGGATTGTTTGCGTTTCTTTCGGACGCGAGTAGGGGGCATGCGTTGTATTATGAGACGTTTTTGCAGCTGGTGCAGTTTCGTGGGATTGATATTGACGCGCTGCCGTAGGCGGACTGGAGGTGGGTTTTTTTGGGGGAGTTAGGGCGTTGCTGGGGAGGGAGCAGATGTGCTGGGGTCATGAGTTGGGGGTTGGGAGGAACACGGGTTGGGGGGGATATGAGAATTAGCTGAATATTGAAGTTCTGAGGAGGGATTCAGAGCTTTTTAGTTGTTTATATGTATGTCTCCACGTTCTTTTTATCGACTCTTCTATTTATACCTCAGGCGATCCTATTCATATTGGGATTACTTTACTTTGAACGTGAACTCGCGCCTACCGTGTTTGCATGCATGTAGGAATGAATAGCCCCTTTGAGCTCGCCCGGCGTTTAGTAAGGAAAAAAAATGCTAAGAAAAGAATATGCGGGAAAGGGATGGTCACGGCACATGCTAGAATAAAATAGGTTGTCTTTTGCAACCGCCTTCGACAACTGCCCCTTTCTTTGCCCTATAGTAGCCGTACTATCATGTCGTCTTTGCTACAAAATACAGAACCCGAGGCTATATTACTCTACTTAACACAAAGTTTTGCTTTTTCAAGGAGCCCCGGGTAAGAATTGACCTGTCAAAATTATATTGGATGATGGGTTTTTGCACTTTACCAGGTTTACTTCCTATGATATCGTTACGGAATGTTTTAATTATAGTAATAGTTTTAATTATTCTTTGTAAACTAATAGCTTTTATTCGATATGTACTCTCCTCGACATTCCCGAGAAATTTCAAACACCGTCCCGTGTACCTATGACAACGGAGAAAGCCTTCTTTCATCTTTGCTCTCGACTCGTTCGGCTAATGAGTCTGCGCACAATGGAATTCATTTTCGGTTATGCCTATAATACAATTTGTGAGGATACAAACTGGATCAAAAGGTTTATTATAGACAACTGGGGGTGCCTTCTTGATGACTTTAGTTCTGGTCATTTATCAGAGGCTCGGTTACCTTTGTTTGCTCGGAAAATACATGAAAAGGGGGCATCGTTGAACAGAGTTCTGGGGGTTCATCAGAATCGCCGTCGAACGGGTTGGCAGCGCCAGGTGTATAATGGTTATAAACATATGCACGCAGTCAAGTATTGAGCTGTTAAATCAACAGATATTTATGTTGATTTACCACCTCTTTGTTTGAGATTGGAGACGGAATGACAATGTTCTCTTACATGCAAATGGCCTTTTAGACTTTTGTCAGCTTTATGCACCAAGCTCTTATATCTACGGAGACTCAGCCTATTCGTTGTTTAGTGTCCTGCTTATCACCTTAGTCTCATATTATTGAGGAAATGATAGCGGAGGAGAAGAGTTTCAATAAGGCAATTTCTATAGATCTACCTGTTATGAATGTGTAAAATGAGGTTTAGGAGATACAATCCGGTTATGGACAGCATCAGACTTCAAACCGACAAAGCAACTTGTTGATACAGTTGTTGGGAATCAATACAGGGTAACGGTAATCATGACAAATATTCATATTTGTATCTATGGCTCAGAAACCTCCACATTTTTTCAATTGTGCCTCACCGCTTTTAAAAGATTATCTGAGAAAATGGAGATAGTGGTTTACTTGCTTTCGTTGAAAAAACAAACGAAAAAAAAAAAATAATATATCTGGAATTCTCACAAAGCCCTTGTATGTGTTGTGCCGAACCGTTAATCCCAACCTGGTCTCTTATGGTCTTTATATCCTCCTGCAACGACAACAGAACCCTTTTCCAACCTTCTATTTCCTACGCTAAACTCTCAAGATTCTATTGGCCGCTTTCGCGGCTTGCTCTTCTGATTTACAGAAATACGGCGGGACGTCGAGAGTCGGGAACTGAGGGAGGGTTAACCACGTATGGAGAATCAGAAGGGATAACACCCCAAGGTCGCGCTGGACGCCGGAATCTTAACTGAATGGAAGGCGTAGCTTGAGGAAGCGGGTGGCTATAGCTGATGCTGCCTCTTAGGGACCTGCTTCGTTCACTTCATTCTCAGTTAAGCCGCTACTATTTGTCCTTCTTATCCTTCACCTCTTCGTGGACCTAGCTGGTCTCTGAAGTCTATGCGGACCGATAGATAAAAGATGCCCTTCACTACCCTCAAAACTCAGTGTTTCATCAGAATCATCCAGTGCTTCAACTCGTACTCTTATAACATTTACACTCATGATCAAAGTCTGTTCCTTATTGTACTCGTGTCTCGCTGCTTGCTTTCTTGAATGCGATTCTGATAGTTGATTTTCAGTCGCAACAGACAATTCAAACTCAACTTGTCCCAGTCTCGATTGTAAACCATTTACCAACTATCTACGTTTATCTCTTGAAAAAATAGTATATTTGAATATCAATTACCTACCTCATCACCCGTGTGAGAAAATCTCTTAATCCTACCGCTTTGTCCCTCATCACTAGCCGCGGGTTGAGAGCGAAAGGATTTCTTCTACTCGATTAAGCCAAGCACGTAATAGCGGGTGAAGGGGAACGACGACTTGCGGATTATGGTATAGTGCTCCTAGAACCATCATTTCTATCAGCCCCACTCTAATAACGGGGTTGAGATTCACTTCGCCTATCGAACTCCTGAAAATCAGGATCAACGGGATCAAGAGGATTACCTTCGCTAGAGGTTGAAACCTTCCTCTTTCATTCTACCATAGCCAGATCTGCTCTCTGGGCTGTAGATTTGTTTCTTAGCATTTTTCTTTTAATAGAAGAGGGCGAGCGAGCTTAAACGCTCCGATCAATTAATTCGTTTCCCACTAAACCAGCATTCCAAAACGAATCATTTAATGTCATTCCAGGAGACGTTCTGTAATTAAAAGCAAAAAAACGATTCAGGGTGCCCATTTAATTCACTGAGCTCAATGCGCGCGCCGAGGCATGGAATCTCACTCGGTTTCACCATCCGATATGAACATACATCCTTTGTCTAAGTTACAGAATAAGTAGGGTGTACTTACTTTAAATGTTTGTATTTCGGGGAAAGTACTTTTCTCTAACTGATATCGCTAGAGAGCTCTCAAAGATACATGCATACAGGTGATCTGCAAATCGAAGGATTCGGAACGAACTACACGGCTCATAGCAGAGCAGGCTGGGCTATCCCCCGAACTCGAAATGACTCCCAAGTTTGCGTAATTAAAGCTCCAAACAAAAACCGTTGACAAGGGGTACCGAGAGCACAAACATTTATTCAGTCGAAGCAGCAAGAAGGCACGATTCGGTGATAAGTCGACCACACCTCTCGGCAGCACCCGTCAGTCTCTTGGCATCCTTGACACATGCAACCCTAACCCACCGACCACTGCACACTTCCCACCCCTAACCCACAAGGCGCCCACAATCCGCAATCCCCAATCTACGCAACGCACCGCACTGCCCATCATCAACCTCCCCCGCCGTCGACTACAATGCCAACGCCGCACCACACGTCCCCCTTCGCGCTCACCATCAACCCGTACCACCCGCCGCAGCCGACTATCCACACCGCATGGCGGGTCGAGTCCCCACCCACCAACCCCCGCGACACCGACACGCACCATCCCGGCCCGTCGCAGCCCGCCCGAGAGCCCTCCCCGTTCGACTACGAGTCCCCAACCGACCGGTACTCGCCGCTGTTCAGGTACGTCTCGCCCGTCGACCGCTCACCCTCCCCGCCAATATGGAGGAGGTCCCCAACACCACCGCCGCCGCCACGCCCACGCCCCCGCCGCAGGAATACACGCCAGCACAGCCCAACACGTACCCCGATCCGCCGACGGCGGAGCGCCACGCCGTCGACTGACCTACTACAGCTGGTCGCAGCCACAGCCCCGCACGACCAGAGGAGGGTGTCCTCGACGGCGCCGTGGGATGAGGAGGAGGAGGAGGGGGTGCGGGTGCGGGTGCGGTCGCCGTCGCTGGATGATTCTGATAGCATCATGACGCGCATGCCGTCGCCGGATTTTTCATGGACCACACTACCCATACTGAACCACAGGAGAAGACCATCACCGGGGATGGAACGACGGACTCAGGCCCTGTCCTCGGAAGAGACATACAATGATCTCTTCTCCACGTACCCAGAGGGCCCAGGAAGACTTCCGCTGCCGAGCATGCTTGGGCCGATGGGCGTCCCGGATATTGGTATGTCTGACGGCTTCTTCACGCGGATGCCCTCCCCCGTCCCGCTGGACCTCACATCGGAGCTCCCTGTCAGCATCCCGCAAGAAAGAAGAGTGACACAGTGGCAGGACCCGCGACCGCCGCCGTGGAGTGATCCGGGGGTTTTGACCTGGCTGTCGGTGGCGAGTGGGCACAGGCGTCCAACACCCAAGGCAGATCCGGAGCCTGCCACAAAGCCAGAGCCCGAGCCAGAGCCGGAAGCGGAACCGGAACCGACGCTCCAAACCACCGCTGCACTGCTGGAAACCCTGGCCGCTGACCTCGCGGCTGGTGCGAGCCGTGCGGCGTGGGGGAGGGTAGAGAGGGCGCTTACTGGGCTACGAGCCCTCCACCTGGCAGGTAGTTCGGGCGCCGGAGCAAGGGCTGGGGGTGGAGTAGGAGGGGAGTGTGTGATATGCTACGAACGACCTGCTGACAGTGTGTTTCGGCCGTGTGGGCATCTCGTGCTCTGTTCCGTAAGTCCCCCGGGGATCCACCACGTCGAGCAGGAGGAGCAAAGGAGGAGTAGTAGGTTAGTATGCTGACGGCGGTGATAGGAATGTGTAGTGTCCGAGCGCGTCGGTGGCGGGCCGGCTGGAAAATGGCCGGTTGTGAGCTGTCCAGTGGGACGCTGTGGCGCGGTGGTGGAGGCGGCGGTGAGTTTTCTGTGCTATCAGCTTTTTTTTTATTTTTTTTTTGGGGGGGAGGAGAGGGCTAATGTGGTGGTTATAGGTGAAGGTGTTTCGGGGGTGACGGGGTAATTCCGGGGGTGTGCGGGGGATGGGCGATAGGGGGTATAGTTGGGCGGTAGAGTTGAGGGGAGGGAATCGTGAGGTCATGGTACACATAATGCAGACTGCAAACAACATGTATGGGAGAGTAGAAATCGTATAGCCACATACCGCATCACTTCCGTAGCGACTCCTACTCCTGCTGCCTGACCCAGCCAGATTCCAGCCCCATCTCAGCGATCATCAAGGAAGCGATAACCAGCGGTAAAGCCAGAAACACGTGAGTTGGAAATGAAATAAGGGAGAAACGTAGATGATAAGTACTTGTATGGATGATGAGGAGAAGAGCGAGGGTGAGAGAGAGAGAGAGACAGCCCTCCGTCTTATACTCGCTAGGTCTTAACGAGACGTCCCTCATGAGAACGTTCTCCCAGCTAGTCCTGACTTACGTCTCCTCACTGCGCCGCCTCCAGCTGCGCCACGTGATGACTAACCCTATACTAGCTAGTGTGTTACGAAACTATTCACCCGCCAAGACCAAGTGACATTCGATGAACCGGTCCTAAAAGCCGTAGTTACCCGTTGGGACTCAGAGCGAGCGTGGGAGATCCCCGCTTATACTGGCTTGCATCGGAAACAACAGTCCTCCTACTCAGGCGGCGGGGGACTTTAACTTTAGCGAAAAAGGGAACGGGATCCCGGTGCGAGTGAGAAATGGTGAAGCGAGTGATCGGTGGTGCAAATGCATTGAATCGGTACCTGTGGGATAGGCAGTCCATATTTTAATAGATTTTTCAATCCGATAACCCTCTTACGAAGAAGCAGATATAAAGCTCTGGTCTGTTGCCGTTATGTGATCTAATGTTGACGAATACACAATACACTACACTTATTGTCACGGCAAGGAGAAGATGGAGAACGGCATGTCTTGGCAACCATGAAAATGAGGACGGTTCCACGAAGTCTTTGGCCACGGGAAACAACGACCAGCTCTCACCGTAACCAGGGGAACGTCAAGATATACGTTCCCAGTATTGACAATATTCACACCGCGCGCCGCAATACCTCGGGGAAGAGACAAATCACACTCCCGGAGTCACAAACCCCCACTCTCCCTAGCAGGATTAGTCCCGCGGCCGCAACGAAGGGCTCATCACCGGCCGATCAAATACCAAACTGACATTTACCAAAACCACATGTTCCCTCCTTCTGCGTGGGTGAGATATCCATGATACACAAGAATCAGAGGACGGCCCTGTCACCGTCTGGAAATAATTTTTATTTGGTGTTGAGATCCAACATGCCACAGGACATGAAATTGACTTTTTGCCAGCATTTTCTTGAAAGTACATTCAATTAATGAAGTTATCAATAATCAATCAATCGAAAGTAAATTAATGAATTAAACAAAATAAAAAAAAATAAATCAAAAGTACACTGAAATAACCCTAACCCTGGTGAACGTTTACACAGCACCGCGAGAAGACTACCGTCAGTTTTGTCTCGTCTCGTCTGGTGTTATCACCGTATTCATGAATCACCAGCGAGCATAATCAGTCAGATGGTAGAACCTCATCGATATTTTTATGAAAACTAAAGAGTACTCCAGAGACTCTGGATAGATCAGGGAGAGCGCAGTGCTCGGAAATAGAATACGGAAAGAAAGCGAGTAGTTTGTAAGGACACAGAGCAAAAAAAGGATCGAGACAGAGCATAGAGATTCTCGATCGGAGGCACCCCACCCGCCGGCTACGGACCACATCGCGCTTTATCGGAAAAGAATCCTTCGTCGCAGCTCATTGAAAGACTACTTCTCCTCCTCCTCCTCCTCCTCAGGCGGGTCTATGCGTTGTAGCCTTCTCAGTTTCGGATCCTTATGGACGTGGAAGATGTAGCCTCTGATATTGTCTTTCGCCCCCGGAGCTATGAGATCCTGAGCCTTGAGCCATGCCACATCATCCCTGACAGACTGCTCCAACCTAGTCGGCGTTAGAATGGGATGGAACACTCTGTATCTCTGACTGGAGGGGTACCATAACATACTCTTGAAATCCCAGAAACGCGATATGATCAGCGGATGTATTGAGGTTCGTTCTGACCTTATCCCGCACCTGGTCGTCTCTGAGTCCACACATCCCGCATCCTGTATAATTAAAGGCAAATAAATCAGCGGGGTGTGATTCACGTAACATGGCCTTACCGGCCTCAAATCTCAATAAGATTAAGAGCTCATGGAGAGATGGGGGTTTGCTTGCTTGTATGCTTGACGATCATAATCGCCCTGGTGTCCAGGAATTGCTGTGAGATGATGAGACTTCTCAGAGCCTCTCGCGCACTTCCTCCGGCGTTACGGATCACATGTGCTTCGCCGGCCGCAACGCCGAAAGCGTCGGATTCCTGGATCCAGGCGTCCATGCATGTTACTGCAGAGCGCCGGAGGTGTCGTTAGCATCTCAATGACGATCGCGATGGCTCGGATATTAAACACAGTGAGAATAATTGAATACGCACCGATGGCAAGATTTCTGGTTGGGACGGAGTTGTGATACTCCTTTTCGATGGCCTCTTTACTAAATGGGCATCCGGGCTCCATGTCTGGCCTAAGGTCGCTTTGGTCGAGGGTGGAAATCGTTTGTAAAAGGTTCTTTGAAGGTTCGAAAGGCCTTATGATATTCGATATGCCGCTCAGTCAGGTTGAGGTCGTTTTCTTGGAAGGGTCTATGCCGGAGATGTGAACGAGATTTATATAGTGTTTCTGTTCATCTTACGATAATAGTCAGCAGGGTGGGGATATACAATGTATTCCGTGCTGTCACTTGTGCGAGCGTGGGAGGGGGGATAGTCGAGATAATTTGTCACTCTATCCTGCAATATGATATCAGTCTCATACATTGTTTCTACCCCCGATATTCCATCCCCGCTGAATCGGGATAAAGGCCTCAAATCAGTCATTCTGAAAACCATGCGCCAATCCTTTTCGCACCTGACCCTGTAAATTCAATCGAAGGGTTTGCTGTGATCTCTAGTTTGGAAGAAACGAGGGCGTTTGGTTGGTTGGTGCCTAGTACGCGAGCTTCCACGTATTCTGTTTGAGACTGCTACTGCATGCGGCTTGGCAGGTTGGAACTACAGAAGACCATTCACCCCGCCATGATTCTCATATATATTACGAGATGGTCCTGCAGCCGGGAAAGCCAATATGATATAGTTATAAATATAAGACCACAATGAAATTGACTTAGTGCACGTTCAATCAAATCAAGCTCTGGGGCTCCCCACAATACCGAGTTCAGCGAAGCAGACATGGGAGACTTACAGTTGGCCCGAATTTTTCATTTTCAAAGTGAAAGGGAAACAGATGCAGCTAAAGTCGCGTCTGCTTCTGCAGCTGACATGTCATTCTCTGAGGAATACGTAATGCTAAATATTCTGCCCTCGGGTATTACTGAGTCTGCACCTGCAGGATGCCTTGTGGTGCTAGGTAGTGCGATGGAAGTGATAAATTTCGCTTTATTTACACTTAATAAATAGAAATTTTGTAATTGGCGAGCCGAGACTTCCGTTACATGAAAGCCCGCTCTCTCTTCTACGTAGGACACCCCGTCAAGCGATATGAGAAACATGTCCAACTCTCGGAGGTCTTGGCGATGTCTTGGCGAGAACAGTGCCGTAGGTGTATTAATGGCGGTGTTTTGAAAAGCGACAGCAATCACTCTTACTATTACCGCGCACCTAGCACACATACCTAGGCATAGGCTTCATTGAAGTATATGAGCCAGTTGATATCTCAGAACATATGTAGTTGCCTCTCGGTTGCACCTCTAAAATTCCCACATAGTCATACTCGTGATTGCTAAGCAAAAGAATAAAAACAAAAAGGAAAAGAAAAAGAAGAAGAAAAAAACAAGAACGAAGGAACAACCAAATCGATCTTGATCGGAAAGTATAGTCTTACTACTCTAACCTAAGTACCACCTAACTAGATCACAATATGCGAGCAGAATACCTAGGCAAATATTGCAGCAGTGTAGAACATGAACGTACGAAAATAGTAAAAGCATGGAAAGAAGTCGTATGTGGTCCGGCAGTGAAAGGAGAGGCGCAATAAATATGACAGAATAATGAAAGGTATACATGGAACGTTCTTTGACAGTCAGGCATTTGAAACTGTGTCGATTATAGCCCAGGTAGTGAGAATGAAGGTGATTATGAGTTCTCGGGGGAATTGCCCTACTGCCGATTGCCTGGTAACTAATCGATTCCTTTATCTTAAGGTGCAATGACAGCAAATAGGTTATCGAGGATAGCTGTTGATTATACAGCAGGTGACTGGGGTATCCTACGGTGTTACAGGCCGTAGGCATTATCCCAAGTACTCAGTCCGGTATTGTCGCGAAGATCCTGTTCAGGCTCTTCGAGCAACAGGAATAGAACATTGTGGTGGTCTTCTTCAATAGCTATGTCAATTGCTGTCGATCCGTCCTCAGTTAAGGCCATTGAATCTGCCCCTCTATCTAGTAGGAGCTCTATCATATCCTCATTGCCCTCCTGGGCAGCAAAATGTAGAGCTCTCCAACCATCGTCTTTAGCTGCGTTGATATCAGCACCTCTATCGAGTAGAAGGCGAGCCACATCTACATGCCCCTTCCACGCCGCAATATTTAGTGCCGTCCATCCTTCAGCTCCGGCCCGTTCCGATACGTATGCTCCACCATCTAATAGCATGCCTACCGCTTCTAGATGGCCTTGCTGTGTGGCGTAGTGTAGAGCATTGAAGCCTCTGTCGTCCTTTCCCGATGTTTTGGCCCCTCTACAAATAAGCAGGTTTGCCACTTCCACATGACCCTCCTGAGCGGCGAGATGTAACGCATGAAGGCCGTCGTTGTCCTGGTGGTTAATATCTGCTCCTTTATCAAGCAGCAGAGTTACCGTCTCTGTATCTCCAGCATGTGCAGCGACGTGTAGAGCATCCCAACCGGCTTTATCCTTTCCCAACACATCTGCGCCCTTTTCAAGAAGTGCCGTTAGAACTGCCAAATGGCCTTGCCTTGCAGCTAAATGTAAAGCATCCCAACCGGAATTATCTTTTTCCGATAGAATAGCCCCCCTCTTTAACAATAGGTCTAGAACCTCCAGATGCCCCTCGTAGGCAGCAATATGTAGAGCATTCCAACCATTGTCCTTCTTTCGCTCACTTATACTGGCACCGCTGTCAAGGAGCAGGTTCACTATTTCCAGATGGCCTTTCCATACCGCAATATGTAATTCAGTCCATCTATCGCTCTCAGCCTGTTCGAACATATCGGCTCCACATGATTTTAGAAGCAATTCCACCGCTTTCAGATGACCCTGGTATATCGCGTGGTAAAGAGCAGTAAAACCACGGTTATCGGTTTCCCATATAAGGGCACCTCGAGATAAAAGCAGCCTTATGACCTTTAGATGACCTCTCTCAGATGCATGATGTAGGGCATTGCATCCATTCGCCTTCTTTGCGGATATATCCGCGCCATGATCAAGCAAAAACCGTACTATATCCGAATGGCCATTCCAAGAGGCGATATGAAGAGGGTTAAATCCATTGTCCCCAACCACTTCAAATAGATCAGCGCCTCTTTCATAGAGTACCTTCACTGCATCTAGGTGACCCCCTTGTATGGCAAGATGCAGAGCATTGAAGGCTACGCTTTGCCTTGTTGATATGCCGGCGCCCTCATCCAGCAGCAGCTCCACCAACTCCACATCCCCCCAGTGAGCAGCAATGTGCAGAGCATTCCAATTGTTGTCCCCCTTCCTCGAGTCAATGTTGGCACCTCTTTGAAGGAGAAGTTGCACAACGTCCAAGTGACCGTTCCACGCGGCTATATGTAGCGCAGTATGGCCGTCGGACTGCCTTTCGTCAACCTCGGCACCTTCGTCTAAGAGGTACTGGGCCAGGGTGGAGCTTCCACATGCGGCCGCGCCATGCAGTGCAGATAAGCACCTGCTCCCGGTAGCCTTGATATTCGCTCCGTTCTCTAGTAATATCTTGATTGCTGGGAGATGGCCATTGTTGGCAGCAGAATACATTGGTGTCTCTCCGGAGCTGTCTTCGCCCATTGGAAGCGCCCCTCTCTGAATCAGTATCTTGATTAGCTCACATTTCCCACCCTTAGCTGCAGCTACCAAGGCGTAATTCATTTTAACTGTGCCACGCTAATCAGCCTCGACGATATCCGGCTCAAATGAAGGATCGTTCCATACCTCCAGGGGCTGGCGAAACCGAACGTCTAACCCTGTGCCGTGGAACCTTTAGGCCCCGCTCTCCCTTGTAATCAGGGTCTGAATCATTCGCGGGATCGAGGAGTGGCGTAGGTGTAGCGAGCTCTACAGCTGAGCCGTTTGAAACGGCAGGGCCAGGACTAACCAAATCTAGGACCGGCTTCGCTATGTTATGAGGCGATCTAGCGACCTCTTGGGCTGCGCTCTGTCCGGATATGTGGATTGGAGGGGGTGCAGCTCTAGGTGCCGAGGGAAGCATGGTCCAGATCGTCGGCGTGTCATCTTTAATTATAAGCCATGTATGTAGCTGGGCCTTGGATGCTGTTGATCGGTCCTGTGGGTTTGTTCTTAGAAGACTGGCCATAAAAGCAACAGCCAGTACTGATAGGTTTGAAGCCTCTCTGGAGTTGGGCGGGAACGTTTCAAGACCCTGCACAAAGTTTATCAGGTTCCTGGTATCCGGGAAAGGCACGCGTTTAGTCATCATATAATACACCAGGCATCCCAAGGACCAAAGGTCGACTGCAGTGGTGTATGCACTACTCGATGACTGTCCGAACCCCCAAATCTCGGGTGCCATGAAGGGCTTGGTTCCTGTGGTGGTTCGGCCTTGTGTACCATCAAGACTTTTGGAGACCCCGAAGTCCGCAATCTTGACTGTAAGTGGTATCCACTTAGCAATGAGAATATTTCCTGGCTTCAAGTCTCGGTGGCATATATTCCTCTCATGCATTATTTCCAAACCCGCCAAAATTTGCTTTGTCACCATCTTAGTTTCATTCTCGGATATGTTGTGATCCTTCATCATTGCGCCTAAATCACCCGGAAGGTACTCCATCGCCAAATAGATATAGTCGCTATCGTTGAACCACCCTAACAATTGAACAAAGTAATCAGGATACTAGTAGGCCACCAATATGGTTAACTGATGGCTCCTAGAAGTATATGCATGGAGTCGGTGTGAATAATTACCGCACGGAGCTGTGTCAAGATATCGAGCTCATTTGATTTGGCTAATCTTATGTGAATCCTTTTCACGGCCCGAACGGTTTTCGTCTCCGCGCATACTTCTTTATACACCGTGCCAAACGTGCCAGATCCAAGTGTCTCCACTCTGGCCCAGGTTTCAACTCTCAACAGTGTTCCGGGATTCGAATAGGTATGCCTATAAATGAAGGTTGATCCATCGAGGAACTCCGTGGTCAGTCTCTGCTTCCCGAAGTGCTCCAAATGCTGAGACATCTTTCTCTTTGATGGTATATATCGATGACTCAAGATATCGTGCGGGGAACATATGCCTGTTAGCGCTGCCGATGTTCGTAATCGACTAGGTTGCTTGCAGATCTGTGTAACAGGATTATGGGTCGCATACACATTGGGATTATGTATACATATCGAAAGGCTCATAATTGAGTTCAATTCGTATTTTGATATCGCAATATAAATCAAGCAATACAGGGGATATTCCAGATACACTTCGACTGTTAATAAGTTCCGTTACCTATTTAAGTCAATATTCTAATGTGCATGCGCATCAGACCATCGTATGTAACATCCAAGGTATGTGTTGTCGATCGCGCCGGGCGCCTCGCAACAATTCGAGAGTTTCAAAATCAAATAGATATATTCTGTTAAGTGCTTGAGCAGCCAAGGCAGCATGCTTCTTGAGTGGGCAAGGGGCTATCGCCTATCGCATATACATGCCCAGCTTCGACCTCTTGGCGCCAAGGCTCACACATATATTATGACTCTCGGTACGAAATAATCCAGCGGGAATTGCTCTGTATGTACGTTTAACACCCATTGACACTCTATTAGTCCAGCCTTGGGTCTTCATAATGTCAGAATAATCATTCATATCTTCCGTAACTCAACCCCTACCACTTCCCTTCCCTCAAATGGCTCTGCACGTCGCCGATTCCTTAGAATTTGAATTATTCGAAAACCACGGTTTGTAGGTGTGATTCGAGGTCTGGATAGAGTTATTCAGTAGGATGTAGTGTCATTACTCAAACAAGAGGAGAGGTGGTGCTCGACTTATTCTACTAAAGTGGACACTATGGACTAGTTACCGAATATGTGGATCTTGAAATAGTACGCTCGGCACGTTTCATAGTATTGGAGGATTCTCATTTGTCGTCATGAGTCACGGGTTCTGACTCGTTCTTTCTCTGGTATTTATTAGTCATGTTTTTCTATCACTCATGCGGCTATGATTCTTTATGTTTTGTGTTACCTTTCCTTAGTATAAATCCGGGGCATTCCCCCCTCTAGCTAGTTGAATCAACACGCTCAATTACAACACTTCTCTACATACATTTTCTCTAGTGGAAACATGAAAGGCTTGGGGCGCACAGGGATCTCCGCTATGATGGCTGTCATGATGGCTGTTGAACATGGGCGTTTTCTACCCCAACTATAAAAAGACCGCACCGGGAATCTAGTAATCTTCCGGAGGTCTCCTATTCGGCTCTAGTTAGCTCTTCTGAAATGAAATCACACCCTTTGAACCTGCAAACCAGCACCTAAACAGATACGGAGGGAAAACATAGCATCCGGTAGTATAACTTATTCGAATTAGGCTTTCTGCGACCGATAGTCATTGATCTTTAAAAAAGGGTTCAGGGGGCCCCGAGCAGTAAAGCTACCCTGTTAGCGCTGTTTGCAATTTTTGTCTGATACCGTAGAGTGGAGGACAGATCCCCATTCTTAAGTTATGGAGAAATGAATAGGTTAATCTTGCTCGCAGTCATCAACGCCATGTGGATCATGACTGTGCCTTCGTATCTTGACGGCTCTCACCGATCAATTATCCAACGATAAAGATTAAAGTACTATGTATGTAAGACCTAGAACCACTAGAGAGGTTTGACGAGAAAGTAGAAGAAGAAGCATGAATTTGTAATCTGTATTCGAGTCTTGAGCCTTAGAGAGGAAGAGAGGAGAGGGCCTGTCTCCTGTCGTCCCTATTTATCCTCTTCGCTTAGTGCCACCTAGTTATACAAAGTGTCATCATGCTATCGCTCAAGATACGTTGCCCACACGCCTATTACCGTGTCCCTTTCCTTTTAATGCCACTCCCGACACCTTGGCGCCAAGACGTTAGCTGAACGGAGAAGCTGGCGGAACTGTAACATATGTACGACAGGCTGCCAGATCGCTGGAACGCCCCCTGGTAGGACAAACTGGTGTTTGCGGATAATGGGTGTGCCTTGAGGGGTAGAAAAAAATTTACTTTAGCTTTTATTCGTGTAGCGCACTATCGCTATAGCTGGAAGCTTTGGATTGTGTAATTAATCAAGGTATGTATGTCCAACTACAGCGCACTTCAGCTCCCGGGTAAAAGTCATCAATTTCAACGTGAACAGAAATTCGGAGAATCGATTTCCGAAGCGCGGAGCATGCGCAGGAGCATTTACCACTTCACGCTGGGAAATAAGAGGTCGGGTTCAATGTAAACGGTAGGAGCCTCAACAACTGTTGTTTAGCCCCGACCATACCCTGGTTATCCTGGCGTGGGTGCAAGTAGCTGCCAAGCCCGCCAAGCCCGCCAAGCCTACTCGAGGGTATTGCATCACGTCATGAGATATCACTCAGATTTCTGATTTCTCGTAATCAGGTTGACGTGTCAATTGATATAACCCTTATGCCCGGCATCGCTTTACAAAACAGGTCTGCTACCCCCTGTGGCCTACGTACATGTACTGTCGAGAACTCCTCGACCCAACTACTTCCATAAAGCGCCGTTTACATTAAAGTCCGGATCTAAAACTTATTTGTAACTACATCGCAACTGGTCAGCTCGAGGTTACTACCGGTCCTTCTCGACTCAGTCTATCATGGTGGGATTACGTTGCAATCTTTTTGCCCGCCGCTTGGAACCTGGCCAGAGCTTCCTAATGACATATCTGTCGGAACTCGGCTAAGCTCATGATGCATTCCCGGTTTCGTCCAGGATATATGCACAACATGAGGAACAACAAGTGTAGCCACGACCAGCATCTGACTAAGTCGCCTCGCCTCATTATCGGAGTCCTGCATCACCGCACTCGAGGGCTGTAGGCTTCACTGCCTCCGTCTTTATGTTCTCTTCACCAGTGTTCCACCTCCGCCGCGGAATGGAAAAGAAGAAATCAACAGCATAGCGTTTTTAATTTTTGATTCAATAACCGAGCACCGGCGCCATGAAAGAAATAGGCAGCAGAATTGGAATCATAGGCCCACTCATCTATCGATTCCCACTTTAACGCTCAAACCTAACCCACGCCAAGCCTAGAACTTACAGGGGGGCACGTAGGTCGTGAGAGACCTCGTATTAGAACTATTTATATAGCCGCTGATAGATTCCTCATAGTGGTTTCAGAGATAGGAACATTGCCATATTGCTGGGTTTCTCTTCAGTCAAGATGAGGTAGACCAATGATAGTCCTTAATGGGGAGCTCTCCGAACAACAGCCGAGAGAGGGAGAGGGAATGAACTCCTTATGATAAGCAACTATCTTTAAGTAAATATAAATAAACCGTGAGATATACGGTGAGTGCGTGTCCCTGGCGATGAGACCTGATGAGACCTCTATGTACTCGAAACTACTAACATAATGTTGTATGAAATAACTTCGAGGTCGGTTAATTGGGGACCAAAATGCTCTAGTCAATATGGGAAGGTTGACATTTGAGTAATATTCCAATACGGCCCGTCATTATAAATAGCGTTAGGAAGATTCCAAATATCTCCCAGGGATATCAGGTTTAACCAGGGTCATAATACAATTAATGAACTGCCAATCAATGAATCAAGCCGGGTGATAAATTACTAAAATATTCAACAAGAAGCTGCTCAAGTAACACACTACTCTCTCTCCGTTCCGCAGATAATAACGCTAAGTAAACCTGACTATTTACATGTATCCTCCTGTTAGGTGACTGACAACAGATCAAACGCGTGCATAAGCGAATTTCCTTTGGAAGAAATCTAGACTAATATCATTTTGGGGAAGATGAATTGAGGAGAAGTTGGGTTAGACTGACTGCAGGAGTCCTAGTAAAACCATAATATTCAAACACACATACTCGTTTTCATACCTCCCCTCAATCATCTCATTAACTGGAATCATCTAAAAGTGCACAACATAATCCTCCCAAGGAATAGACTTACATGAGTCTTTTGGCAAGCTCCTCAAGCTTAGAAAGGACTCCACCAATAGGTATACCCGGGCCAGGAGTGTTATAAACAGCAAACCAGAAAGTGCTAATAACAGCATCGTATAGATAACCTCACCAGCACCACCCCATTTCTTATTAACGCCGATAGTAACAATGGTTATAAGGCTGGGAAGCGCTGCTACTGCCACTGCGGAAAGTCGCCACAGGTCTCGCTCAAACTCTGTAGGGAAATGTGTGTTCCATGCGGTTGCATGAAATAAACCATACAACATCGGAATAATGATTGCAGGAGCGCAGTTATTGAATCTCAGATTATTTATAAATAGAGATAGGGCTGGCGTCCTATTGTAACAATCCAATATGGGTGAGATTCTGTCGGGGCCTGGAGTGGCAGCGTACCGACCCGAATGATAAATACTGGAGGCTTTCATAAGCAGTGCAAGATCCTCCTTCTCAAGGTTGGATTGTATCTTTCATGCCTCAAGCTCTATCACACCACCGATAATCAAAGTATGGCTCCTTCTAACCACTAGGTCTGGGGGACCAGGGGGTATTGTGCTTTCAGCAGATAACGTGAGCGATAGAGAAACCACCCTCTCTATCTTCAAGGAGCCCCCCGTTGCACTACCCAAGGCTACTCGTTGAAATGGCGTGGAAACTGGCTCGACCTTTTTCTCCGCAACTGCATAAACGTGAGCCTTTAAAGCAGCTCTCGGATCGTTCACGTCGACAATTGGCCCTAGGCCCACTGCGGCAAGTACAGACTTCCGGAGCCTACACCCGCGCTTGCCAAATCTGACAGCTTGCATAATCGCGGTGTCCACGTCATGAAATAGGTGAAGTGGTTCCTGGACGTCCAGAGGCTTGTGCCACCAATAGGCGTAGGTGATGATTGTGATTACCACATGCAACGCCACATGGAACTCCAAAAGCGTTATTGGAAGCCCATTCGCCTTTCTCAAGATACATTGTATGAGTGTCCACATTGTCTGAGCAAACACCATGCCCTTGCCGAGGCTCTCAACCTTGCTTTTGTCCATGATTACGCTCTTCCTTACTAGGTTCTTTGGGGCTTGACCTACTCTGGTGAAATAGAGGAAGCCATCGTACGTGACGACAGAACGGAAGCTTCCAAAGAGCTCCTTTGGTCCCAGAGAAAAGCCACCCATGCCAATAAAGAAGGCTCCCTGCATACCAAGGTTATCACTATCATCACCAGGCCTAATATTGTGGAGACTGCACCAGCTGTGCCAAAATCCCCGGGCATCTCTCCATTCTTGTATGGCGATGGCAAGGATGACGTCGGGCGCAATCATGCCGATAACAACGAATCTTAACTTGCGGAGGATGACTTCAAACGGGGTAGCATTATGGGGTAAGTTGATATGGAGGACTGTGTATACGCAAAGAGCGAGGGTGATGATTGAGCTGGAGACGATTGTCATGGTGCCACGTCCAGTGGGCTCGGGCTCCCATGAAGGCTCTACACTAGGTGTTGATAAGGGTGATTCGGGGATGGGTGATGCGTCTATCAGTGATCGAACAGGAAGGAGGAGGGCGGATAGAATAATAGGTAACGCCATGGTTGCTCGGGCAGGATGAGGTGGGTACTTTGAAGACAAACGCCTTCTCAAGGTTGGGCAAAGAGTTGAAGAGTAATCATGGACTCACAGGCGGACAGGGTCTATTATAACTGCGGGATCTAGCTGCTTCGATCTTGCAATGACTACCTCCTCTGACCTTCTACCCATGATCAGGTAGGGGATAATGATAGGCTGGCATTCTATCCTATCAATAGCTAGGTTTGCCCTTTAACCTTAACCGACGACAGCCTGTCGATCTTACGGCGCTTTGTCCAACAAATGGCTTGCGCCTTTCCACTTCATGCAAGTAAGTCCATATGCAGGGTAGATTACAAGCGACAGCTGATATGGAGCCTGAAGCACGATCTCTGGTAAACATGTATTGACTATATTGTTTGGCAATTATAAATATTCATATCCTAACACGCGATAGTGCAAATTTGTGGGAGGGGGAAAACAATCACACTGGGGATCATATTGATCTAGTAATTACTCTTCGGCCATGCCGGTGGTGAGACAAAACTTCGATGATCTGCAGTAATGGGAGTACGGATTTCACTCCGTCTCCATCTCATATTACTCAGACTCTGAGGTATAGGTAGGAACCGTTCTTCGTTCCTTTTTAATCGCTGTGCTTAATTCATGAACGTATTGGGCTTGCGTACTAGAGTAGATTACATGCATGAATGATCTCCTTTGCGCTTACCTCCCTGCGACACTCCAGTGTCTCAACTCAATTGTGGGGAAAATAGGCAACACCTCACCCGCTTTAGGAAAGAGGGCCAGCACTAATTCTATCTCAAGTGACCGTGTGGCCTTCATTGGTGCCAATTCTCTGGATTTCTGCTGCGATAAATCCTGTCATTCGCCAGCGATATAGCGTATTGCGGGTTCTCAAAAATTATGGGACGCAACGGGGCACCGCAACGGCCACCCAACCTCGCCACCAACGAACTAACACGGAATGAAAATGTATTTTGAGACTCTAGTATTTCTTATTATCTTTTATCTTATTTATAGCCACTTTGTGGTCGGTGTTGGTTGAGAGATTCTTACGTTGGAGCCTGTTTGTCCCATTATTTTTGACAATTCGCAATACCAAGAATACCAAGAAAGTGAAGATAGTGTACCAAGAATGCCAAGAGGGTGAACGCGTACTTTTATTCCATACATGTAATGATATGCATGGACGCATGCAGCGAATTGCTTTTCTTTCAGCTCACATTAATACATTAATACACTAATACAATTCTCGGGGGGAAAGCCTGCATTCCCCGGGCCAATAGTCCGAGCTTGATCTGCACGGCGCATGGCGGGTGGCAGCTGCTCGGTAGCGCATAAAAGCGCATAAAAGCGCTGTATCGGACTTGCACTTAGACCACTTGACGAAATATAGTAAGACGACAGCCTTTCTACTGAATTGGACCAACCTCCTGAAGCGAAAGCCCAGGGATTTGATCAGAAACAGTTTGACCTGACTACGCAAGGTATTAAATACCGCCAAGTATTCGATTAACCCCGGCCCCTTGAGCCTAGAGCAAAGCAATAGTAGGAAAAGGGGAAATGATGTCTTTTCATTATTACACGCATTTGTAACTATTTACTCTTATTCTACTCCGACCCCTTTGCTTTAAGACAAAGCGGCATTTCACTCGTAATGGCGGTAATGACTGCGCAAGATCATTCCCAACGATGATCATGTCTGATTTCAGAAAGCTGATCAGAATTATCAAATCAGAGCAGGTGTTGTCAATTTCTATACTTTGCTCCTGCTGCGCTCCAACGTGCTACTCTGGTCCTGCTGAGGAACCTTCTGGCTTCTTTGGCACGTTTAGTGGTGGCAAATGTGTCGGCAGGTATCAGAACAACCCCAACACTGTGAATGAGAAACATAATTCCTGTTGATACTATTCCTGTGTGCTAATATGAGGATTGGCAGGTGAGGAGTTCGCTGTCCTGACTCGTCGCCTTGTCTCGTTTCCCCACCTCCGCTAAGACTTTATTCTAGGCTCGTATACTTGCAAACCCCAGGTATTAGACATTCACAATCTCGCCCTCCTCCCACCACTTAAGGCATTTTCGTACAACACACAGCTAGGAGATCGTCACTCTTACTGGCACCTCCATAATGATCACACCTAACCCTTGCCAAGACATGGCCCAATCACAGATTGTCACTCGTGCCAAGCCACCAAACCGCAAGCTTCACCGATCAGCTGAAGAATTTCGCGCCCTAGGGCTAATTCTACTGCTCCGGACAGAGTTCAAGGTCCTGAACCACCATAATGGACTTTCTTCCATCACCTTGAATGTATGATATACATGAAATAGACTCCAGCTCCCCTACTCGCTATGCAGCCTTTAATATAGCTTGGATTGGATGACCTAGTAGGCATGTTGCTCTGACCAAACTTTAAGGCATCACGCTAATACTGAATCACATCTACATATATCGCATTCGGTATTCTGTATACAGGTAGCCTTCAACTCGCGACGCATCCCATCGGTCGTAGGTAATTTTCAACCTCTCGACTACCAACCTCTTCTCCGAGCCGAGACCCATGAAACTATTCAGGTCTGAGCTCTTTGTACTGAGTATCATGTCAAGAGTGTATAAAGCCGCCTATACAATGTACATTTTTGAAATAGGTAGTGCTGGCGGCCGCGCGACAAGGCTTGAGAGCCCTCCGTTACGAGTCAGGACATACCCGCTACCGCCACTGCCATATGAGGTCGACCACGAGTACTCTCCAGGATTCTGATGATTCATACTAGATGAGACGAGGGATAAGCAAGCAGGGGTTGTAGTGTGCTTAGCTGAATAGTTTGTTACTCGCTCCCGAGGCTTGGCTTGGCTACCGGTATCGGAATGAAGGTCTAATTTTTCAATGCAACGCATATTAACCTACGCCAGGGGGGTGGCAAGCCTGTGAGTCCTTTTTAAACCCAGGAAAGGGTCAAAGTTTCTACTACGAATGTAAATGCATAATTAGCACATTTCCCACACAAATGTTTGGGAAAAGGCACATGGAAATGTGCTTACATGGGTACGCCTGTTGGAAATGTGTACCTTTTTCCTTTTACATCCCTTTTACTGTGGCATTTCCTGTGACTTTTGCCACTGTAGACCCCGGGATGCCCATCTACTGTCAATTTACTGTTCCTTTTCCAAAGGCCGGTCTCCCCGGATCCCATTTATGTCCCTTTTGTATCCCTTTTGTATTTCTTTTATATCCATTTACTATCTACTTACTGTCCCTTTTTTTGTCTCTTTTTTGTCCCGTTTCGATTCCTTTTCTGTCCCTTTATCCTCCCTTTTCGATCCCTTTAATATTTTTCAAAAATATTACCACATATATTCCTGGGCCTATAGGTGTTCCAAAACGGTCATCTACATCAATTCAGCTTGTATAGTTGATATAGTCCTAGCTATATCAGCCTAAGATAAGAGGTTCAACCCTTATCTAGGTAACGATGTAGACAGGCATCCATATATTCTTTCGTTTTTTTTTTGACAAAATTCGGTTGAGGAAATGGGATAATTAATGGATGTAAATTGGATGTAAAAGCATGCCATTGCACTTAAAACCATTTTAATCCCTTTTCCTCCGGTGCACAAGGGCCCATATTTAATCACTTCCCCATACAAAATATTAATTATTTTACCACACAATTTTAATACACTCTTGATGCATTTCCCGATTCCTTTACAAGACAGTTTAATTATTTCTTCCATATGATTTTAATTATTTCCCCCACACTATTTTAATTATTTCTACCACACGATTTTAATTATTTCCACCACACGATTTAATTATTTCTACCATACAAAATTTGATGCATTTCCCGACGACATTCTCCACACAAAATATGATGCATTTCCTGATGCATTTCCACTCGTAGTAGAAAGTAGGTATACCTGGGTGGCTGGCGGCTTTTATAAGGTTGTTGTAGCTAATATGCCGGGTATGTCGAGTTTGGCTAATTAGAGAATAATGCCTGGGTGGAGTTGAATGTCTCGAGCGACTACATCGTACTTTTCCTCCTGGCCATATCATAGATAGGAGCTACTAGGCTTATGGCAGTGGGAAATAGGTAGAAATATCTTTATTCGACGGATTATCACAAATGTTGATTGAGGCGATAACAAATTGATCGATTGAGTACAGAATTGATTGATTGATTGATAATTCGTTAGTTGTATGCCGCCCGGGAGCTGTTCTGGCTAATTCACGAAGTCGATCACTCACGAAGTTGTATGGGTGAACCAGTTCATTCACGAAGTGTTGTTTATTACGGATGACGATATTGGTGTCCTTGTGAGCCGAGTATTACATCCCTGCATAGAGTAATTGGGGGGAATAGAGCCTCGTACTGTCATTATCTGTAGCCTGCAGGATGAACTAGATTTGGAGTGTTCCAATACTCCTCTGTAAGTCAATGTGAGATCAATTACAGCGTGTCCCGGCGTCTGGGGGGTTATCTTGAGGTTTCTGGTGTGCTACTACTCCTGTGAAAGCGATCACAGTCAAATCTGGTTTAGTTCCTTATTATTTCACCGCAGACTTCGTGAGTAGACCAAAACCTACTGACTGAGCTGGGTAATTCTGATATATATCTCACTTCCTGGATGAACTGGTTTACCCACGAAACTTCGTGAATGAACTGACATTGTGGATGAGCCTGAACAGACCTATGACAATATCTAACATACCAACACAAAACAAATTGTGACAAAAGACAATAAAGAAATCCAATCCTAAGAAAATGCATAACAGAATATTTAAGCCCCCCGGACAAACCCACTGCTTGTAATTCGATTCGTCTCCTTTACCAATTCCAAACTTGATGAAATTCTTCCCTTAGGTTACCCCACTCCATTCATTGAGTACAGAAGAAAATCGAGAAATTGAGGAAAGACAAATGTTGCACATCAAGCTGTGCTAGCGAGGCTTGAGAAAGCTCCCAGGCGTTTATGGCAGACTCTCCGTCCATGCCGCCTTGGAGGAACCAGATAAGTCATAAACGAAGAAAAACCATACAAGAATGACAACCTGCCAAACAACTGAAGAATGGGTAATAAAGCGGAACGTGGGTTTTACCGGAATGATCCCCCAAAACTCATGTAAATCCACACCCGCCCACCACCATGAAGCTATAGTACCCCCACGCAACATAGCAGCAACAACGATAAAGGAGAGTAACATCGTTACAGATTTAGGGACATCTTTACGAGGGAGGGTGTCAACGATTAGATGCAAGAGGCTGCAGCCAAAGCAGAAATTCAGGACTACAACGGTGACAAGAAAGGCATTTCGGATCAAACTTTTCTTTCTATCAGAATGCGAAACCCAGCCCATCTCGCACAGGCAAAGGTTCGACTTGGGCAAGGGAAGTGAAAGTCCGCCGTCGTTAAAAATCAGGATGAGTGCCTCTAGTGCAAGCCACGGCATGAAGACCACTACAGTCCAAACAAGGCCCCATCTGGTATGACTGTAGCCGCACACCTTGACAAACTGAAGTACTGACACGAGTGAAAGAAATGCTCTCAAGCTAATTATCTTCCCACTCCAGCGCTTGGTAGTTGGATTAATATCGTTGTTAGGCACAGCTGGCAAGGGCAAAGACCGAAGAGGGAGGTTCAGCCGCCTACAGATCACCAGCTGAATTGCTTGCCGAACGTTAAGTCGAAGTTCGGTGTCGGAGTGGGAGACGAAGTAAGGACCTTCCCCAGGGATATCAGGTGGAGCCGCGTGGATGCAAGAATGAGTTGGAGGGTAAAATACGTCGCATAATAGGTATAATACATCAAAAATAGGTCCAGGAGGTATGATTAGCGCATGGAATCGATAATCTGAGCCCAGACCGATGGTCCCACTCAATGGGTGTATCACATATGCGAAGATGAATGTGAAAAGAACCCAGAACATGTTCATATGTGTAACCTCCGAGGCGGCTGTCGAGTCGGCACCGTCACCTTTCCTCTCGTTGTCGTGGCCAATCAGTGATCTTGGCAGTATCGAAGATGGGCTTCCGGGGAGAGTAGTCGGTATTGGCACTGGGATCTTCTTCACAACGGGTGTTAAAGACCCATCCTGTAGGTTTGATTCTGGATGGTAGGTATATCGCCCCGCGACGCTTGCGGCTACGACCGTGGGGGCTAATAATGGTATGAATGATGTGAAGGATACGAAGATAACAAAAGAAAGTCCGGGAGGCCTCATTTCTATCGATGTGGGGCTGTATCGCTTGCTCGAATATATGGATGGAGGTTAAAATTGTTTCTCATTAGCGGCGATGTTTGCCAACACATAAACAAGGCCTTGGCACAGCCTTGCCAGTGACTAACAAGTTAGGCATCGAGACTTTGTGTAACCTGATCTCGACACCTGGTAATCTATAGGCCTCGCCTTATTCAAACCCTCAAGACGAAGTCTCGCCAAGTTTTGTCTCATGCCCATTACTACACCTGAACCTCCCCATACACCCCCGTTTCTCCCGTGTTTTCCCTCTTCACTACCTCCACCCTCTCTGCACTCTCCGCGCCTCGATTTATCACTTCCGAAACATTACCACAACACTCTCATACCCCTCTCTCACCACACGTTACACCACGTACGTTCCCACCCTCGTATTTCTATTCCTCTGCATCCAGCATGTGTAGCAACACTGTGGCGGTGCCGGGGTGGACGCTGGTTGGGTAGCAGTGTGCGCTTTGCGGCCTGTCGCTGTGACGGTGAGAGGATTACTCTCGGCGATAAGTCCCGACAGTTCTACTGATTCTCAATAAAGACTTCTTACGAAACTTCGGGGTGCGCGCGGTAGCCCCTTGTCTGGTCGAAACGGAAGGGAGTGCTGCTGAATATCTTAGATAAATGCGATCTTCAAGATATGACTAGTACTACTAGTACATGGCGGCCTTGGTAACACCCCTAGAAACTCGATAGCGTTGTAGGGTGGTGAGGTGGGATTAAGGTTAGCAGGGTTTAGGCGGAAGCGTGCAGCCACACCAGGGTGAGTCTGTGTAACCTATGATATACTAGCACCGGAATCGATATTCCCGTACAGCTCTCCGCCATAAGAAATGTTCAAAAGCGCATAAACGCGCAAACCAACCGAGAAAAAAAGTAGCAACGTTCGAGTTTCAAGATAATTCATGACTGAGAGGGCTACAAGCAGTTTACACAGCATTATTATATGCTACCAGCAGTACTAGCGAACGTCTCTTTTAACCTTCCAAATTCCCAACCACACCTTCCAATTCAAATTCAAAGCTACGTAGGAATCAGAATTACATCAACCAATTACCCGACCACGGATCCACCCCTTCCAACACGGGCATCGTAATTACACCCCCACCTTCCCACGACACTCCTCCAACACCATCTGCATCTCCACCCCCCACCCATCCCTCATCTTCCCCCCTACTCGCGGCACCGTTGCCCCCGCGCCCAGCAACCACCTCACCGTCTCCGCATGCCCGCCCCTCAACGCCCTCACCAGCGGCGACGGCCCCCGCAGCACATCCCCTCCACCGGCAGCCCATGATAATCCACCAGCCGCCTCACGACCTCCGTGGACCCCTTGTCCGCCGCATAGTTGAGCACGGCGAGCCTGCGCTCGTTGTCGGGCACGCGGCAGTACTGCCCACATCGCCACTGGTGCTTGACGAGGCGGTAGATAAACGTGGGCGAGGCCGAGGCGGCGGCGAAGCGCGCGGTACGCTGGTAGTCGAGGCGGTTGAGCAGGGCGCGGCAGGTGGCGGCGAGATTGCAGAGCGAGCGCGCGCGGAGGTGGGCCGTGATGAGGAGGAGGAGCTCGGTGGGGAGGTTGGCGAGGTGGTTGTAGGCGGGGGATGGCATGGTGGGGGTGGGGTGGTGGTTGTAGGCGGGGGATGGCATGGTGGGGGTGGGGTGCTGTGGACGTTTCGTGGTGTGTCGTCGTGCTGATTTTGGTGCCTTTAGGTGGGAGCTCCCGGCGCGGAGGAGGCGTGAGGTTAGGCTTAAGGACATGGTAGGTTGGGGGCTTTATGCGCTGGTGGAGGAGGTGAGGGAGCCAGGTGAAGGTTTCAATCTCATGCGCAGTCACGGCTTGTGTAACGTACGCTGGCGTGGTGGATTGAGATTGGATCGCCTATGATGGGTTGCCTGAATATGCGATTACATGGTTCCCGCGGAGGTAGGAGTCGGTGGTATGATCTTTGTCCAACAGAAGTCCTATCCATATCTCGAGAAGTTAATGGTATGACCGACACAATTTTCGTGATGGTTAAGGTTACCCGCTGGTAGCAGTTTGCCCAAGTCGAGTGATAGTTATATCATGATCTTCTGTACCTCGACGGATATTCCCGTGGAGTTGATCGGGTGCGGAAGTGCATGTGCCTGATGGCGATCACACAACCGCATCCCACCACACCATACCACACCTATATATATCACATTACCTCTACGAGGTTATGAAATCCATCAGTAAATAGATCTAATGATGCATTCCCCACTCGCAGCGTAGGAAATGTGCAGGGAAACGCATACGAAACGCATCGCCTGATGCATTTCCAACAAGCCCACCCGGGGAAATGCATCATTTGATGCATTTCCCAACCTGCTCTGTAAAATCGCTGAGACTGCAAAGCTCCAGCTACGGCCAACTGTCTACTACATATAAAAGCTCATTAGAACCATCTTCTCTCCCCCCCGCAAAGGTCTTTGGACCTCCTGTACGTACCTCCTGCTCTATCCGTACCTGGGCTTGGGATATTCCACAATACACTCTTCGATCCGAATCACAACAACAGAGTATTCGTAATAACCCTAACCCTCGATGGAAGTACTCGAGAAAATGAACGACCAGCATAGGCATATGATAGGGGGTGGTTCAAACTTTCAATGAATTAATCGACCATGTTCACCATCGCACCGGTCGTCTTTGCAGTCGCTTGGGGTTTAATCTGGTCAGAGCATGTCGTCTTACATTAGAGATGCCAAGGCGTGACCACGTACTCTGACATGGTAGACTCCCGAGGGATAACAGGCTTTGGAGCAACATCCAGCAACGTCATGGGCATGTAAAGATGCGTGGGATTACGTTTCGACGATAGTGGGCTGACCCCGCTCAACCGTCCTTGCGCAATCTGGGATCTTTTCTATCTTCTTGTCCTTCAACATCCGTACAAAAAGCTCGACGTCCCCTATTCGCACACATTCAACATCCGTACCAGCTTCACGAGGGATGTGGATTCCAACCTTTTCTGTCATATGGATTTCGAATATCTGCACTACCGGTCTTTCTCCAGCCCAAGCGGTGAAACCGTGCCTAAGTCTCCAGATATGGTTTCGATAAGCTCTACAGACTCGATATCCCACGCTCTCCTGACAACACCAGAAAGAGCAGTCGCCGGTACCGCTTCAGCCGGAGTCCCGCTCTCTGATCACCAACCAATTCTGGGCAGTTCTGTCATTCGTCATCGCCTTCAATACGCATCGTTTGAGTAGTTTTATAAGATTTTACTACATTTCTTATACCTGATGGCCCTCCGGCGGATGCTCTTCTACCCTTGATGGAGGTATTCCGGCTTACTCGGTCCGATACCGTTACACAGACTCCAAGGCGTGGTCCGCGGGGTAACCGCCCCCCGTACGTTCGGACGCAATTCGGGCATGGCCGGTCCGGGGGTGGTGGTGAGATGGACACACAGTGAATGCCAGTCCAATCAAATGGTGAGCTACATCCAACTACGTGCAGCCACTCATGGCGGTAGTTAACTCTCCTCGCTTAGAATCCCATCATGGAATGGCACTCTGCTTATATAAGCATACACAGACCAGCGAAGACCACCGCTCTGCAGCGGTATTCAACTCCATGTAACAAGGTACACACAGTCAATGTGCACTCCCGATCATGATTAGGCACTAAATGAGATCAGCCTCCGACGCGATACACTATCGATAACCAAGTATCACTGCATGTATAGGAAACCAAACATTGCCCGCCCGTAGCCGATACCCCCCGACATGACGAAACCCGGCAAAGCACAACTAGGGTTCACGTAACAACTCTACTGCCATGGACTATATCTCTTTGGAAACGGTGCTGGAGTGTCGAATCAGTAAAGTTCATAGAGTGTTGCTCTGCTTAGTGAAGCGCGCTAGACGCCTGTGGTCAACACACGCTGACGAGACTACCGCCCTGCAGCCGTTCACAGATGATTTTTAAGCCTGCCTTCAATTAACCGTGCAGTGGTATTGTCGTAAATCATAAATTACACACAAGGTGAAATTAGCAAGACAGGAGGGTGCCTGGTACGGTCTTGGCAATCCAAGCCAGAAAATCAACATATCGGAGCATTTATCAGCCCAAACCGTATTGAAGGAATCCAATGTTTGTAATTGATTATTACTGTTGATGACATCATAGTCTTCAAATCCAATATTTGCTGTAAGCACCCGCCCATCAATTAATGAATCAGCCCGAATCGGCGGTATATTTTCACTTCCGAGTGACAGTTCGCGCTTCTATTAGCACGACTGACTTATGCCGAACATTACATAGATCTGTGCTGGTCAATTGACGAATAACGGTAATCCATGAACAACGCTAGACTGTTTGTCAAATTTTCTTATCCTCAAAGACCGATAGCATATCCAATGATATGGGAAATCGGGCTGAACTCGTGCGATTCTTTCATGGTATTTGGAGATGCGGGGCTAAGGTCAGGATACATTGGTTACTTTTGTGCCGCAATCAATCAACTAAGTGCTCTGGGAATTTAATACACACACCCGACATATCGCAAAGGGGCCGTAATATGAAATAGCGAGGCGTTAGTATGCACAACATGGCAGGAGTTTAAGTTTGCGCGTGTCAGGACGAGAATAATTTCGCGTAAGGATATATGATAACGGAAGGGAGGTACTGCAGTCGTTCGTGCGCAGTCTGAAGCGTGAGCAGTATCATCGGAAAATGCGAAATAATCCCTCACAAAGCAACAGTAAACGCATTATGGGCGCAGGGGTAAGTGAGAAGACACAACGCTGCCAAGGCTGCGCGAAGGGTGTCTTCTCACGATGTACTCGGGGCAGGTAAAAAGTACCGGACAATGCAGGTTTTTGGTTCACCAATGGGTGCGCGTGCTAGGCGTGAACTACTGCAAAAAAATGCCCAGAGACAAAACTTGTATTGTCCGGTACTTCTTACCTGCCCCGAGTATCCCCACCCCCGAAGTACGTGCGTGCATCCTGCCGGAAACCTGCAGCTTTACATACAAAGACCGCAACGTTTCCACGATGCCGGTAGTGAAGCGAAGTAGATTTGCCGCAGTATTTGAGAAAACCCGTCCAACCAGAGGCAGTCGTAATTTGGACGCCAAGATGCAGGTTTTGGTGTAGAATATCCCTGCTGCAGCGCAACAAATGTTCTCAAGATGGTCAGTAGGGTTGAAAGCCGCAAGCGTGGAAGATATGTCTTTCCAATAGCATCGTTTCCCGTGCGCGCGCCCAATTGGATTAATGCGCAGCGCAGCAGACCAGCAAGCTGAGTTTCCAATGGGGCTGCCCGGGACTGAGAAACTACGGCCCGGCCCAGGAAGGAAATCAGGGACCCTGTCCCGGCCTAGGAGCGTCTGCTGGGAGTGGTCCTAGGACTACTCATGGGACTGAGATACCTTTAGAGCTGGGTGGGTTACACCTCAATATCTTGATTTTTGGCGTAATAGTGAGATAGGGGCTTAACATATCCGATACCCGATGCCGTTTAGATCTGGTCACGCATCATGATTTTTTAGACATAAACGGTGGCCCCAATATGATGTTGTCCTTTTTTTTTCAGAGAACGCATGCTTTTTCACGAACATGGGTTCCTCGGGACCAGTCCTAGGACTGGCACATTCTAGCCCGGCCCAATCCCAGGGAGAAAACGCTGGCCCAGTCCCGGCCCAGGGAGCCTAGTCCCGGGATAGCCAACTAGTACCTTGTCCTATTGGAAAGTCTGCCAGCAAGGGAGAGAAGATTCAAGAGAGATTAGAATGGAAGCCGGTATAAGAATGGCCAACCGGATGAAATTGAACATATAAAGAAAAGTGCGGTAATAAGATGGATTGCATTCACTGAGGAGTCCAGTGTGACGGAGCCATTTCAACTTTCTGGTGTATGAGTACACACAGGGCCCGGTTACATGCTGAGAGTTATTGTTAGAAGCCAGTTGCACAGTGACATGCAAGTACTGGCAGTGTCGTTAGCTACCAGCTGTTAGAGTAACTACATTCTGAGCGCTAGGTGGAGGATCTAATCATGGGAGCAATGGCTGATGAGTCTATGCCTTGCCAATGATTAGAAGACCAACCAGAGTGAAGATATGAATAATCGGTGATCCTCTGTATCCTCCGAGCATACAGGTCCACCGGTATCAGCAGGGACTATACCTGGGAAGTCTACAATAAACGGAAACTCTACAGCAATGATTAAGCTTACACCTGAGTGGCAGCTCATTCATGCAGGCCCCGGTTGTGTGGCAACCAAGGCTGTAGGTGTTACAATGGCTTTGACTAAGGGTGGTTGCCTTGAGTATCGGAAACACCTGCTAGCGCTTAGAGAAAACTGGGGTAGCGGTGGTATTGTTTCCCCTACCGATGGAAGGTATCACCGGAACTTAGTAAGGAGTTAGGAGCAGAAAATAGAGGCCTTCAGAGTATAAGTACTCAGGTCCATTCTCGCCTTATAGTCCTAGTCTCTCCAGTCCTCATCAGAAGGAAAACCAAGTTCTTATCGGTAGCAGAGCCCTTAAAGATTATTGAGTTCTAGCGATAGTATCTTTGAATAATCCGCACCCAGATTGTCTATCTTGCACAGCCATCTCTATTCTATCCTATTCTATTTCTCTTAGAAGAGACCCCCGTTACAGTTTGGTTCTCGAGTCTGTGAAGTGAAGTAATACCTCATCATCCAGTACGACACGTCTGAATGGGCTATTCTTTGTGCGGGTCCGAAATTTCAGAACATTGTTCTCAATTGTATACTTATGACTGACCTGATACTTGAGGCATTGTTCCTCTTTTCCAACGGCAAGCCTGCCTCTCGTAATAAAATCCCGTATCAAATCAGCAGTTTGAGGAGAAATCCGGTATCTGTTAATGTACCCGTAGCTTTGGAGGTGTTCCTACCATGCAAGTTTTGCAGCATTGGAAAAAGGATTACGGGAAACGTTAGACATTCTTGAAGTATGAAAGCAAGATCGGAGATTGCTGTAAGCTGTTCTTGAAGTTCTGAGAACCCATAGACGTGGGGCGCATTCATTTATAGAGCTGTTGGCAGTCGGGCCAAAGGAACGATATCGGGCGAGAGGAAAGCCATCGGGCGAGAGGAAAGGCACCCGGGCGAGAGGAAAGGTACCCGGGCGAGAGGAAAGGTACTCGGGTGAGAGGAAAGGTACTCGATCGATAGGAAATGCACTCGGTCGATAGGAAGGGTACTCGGGCGATGGCAGAGTTTTCGGTTGAGAGCACGAGCTGCTACAGGTCCTGAGACAGGTGTCGGAGCTTGTAGAGCTTCTGGGGCGAGTCCACGCCTCCTGGGGTGAGTCCATGCCTCCTAGCGCGAGTCCATAACTCCAGGGGTGAGTGCACAAGCTTATACAGCTTCTGGGGCGGGTAGAAAGCTACTGAGACAGGTACAGCTCTCCTGGGACGAGCACAGCTCCCCTGGGGCGAGTACAGTTCCCCTGGGGCGAGTATAGCTCTCCTGGGGTGAGGAAAACTTTACTGAGATGAGTACAGCTCCCCTGGGGCGAGTACAGTTTTACTGAGACGAGTACAGCTATCCTGGGATGGGTTCAGCTCTCCTGGGACAAACACAGCTATCCTGGGGCGAGTACAGCTCTCCTGGGACGAGCACAGCTCCCCTGGGGCGGGTATAGCTCCCCTGGGATGAGTACAGCTATCCTGGGACGAGCACAGCTCCCCTGGGATGAGCACAGCTATCCTGGGGCGAGCACAGCTCCTCTGGCCCGAGTACAGCTCTCCTGGAGTGAGGGCAGCTTTACTGGAGCTAGTACAGGTACTAGTACAGCTCCTGGTCACCCATAGCTTTACTGGAGCAAGGACGGGTACTGGTAGTACTTCTGGGACGAGCACAGCTGTACTGAAGCGAGCACAGCTCTACTGGAACGAGCAGAGCGCTTCTGGGGAGAGCAGGGTTTTCCTAGAGTGAGCAGAGAGCTTCTGGCACGAGCAGAGCTGTACTTGGGTGAATAGAGGTGCTGGTATGGAGGTGCGTCATGACCTATCACTCGGTTTGTATAAAATAACTGCATCGACTTACGCCAGCTGTTTATCCTTTTCGTGATCCCACTCATGTGCAATGTGGGGCTGGGCTAATTTGGATAAACCGCTGGAGTCTTACGCCTTACCTCCAGAGGAATAAATTCATGGTACAGTAATCGGACAACCCTCTTCCTCTATTTGCAAGGCGTCTATCCATTCTGTTTGGACAATATGACGCACTTTTGAGGCCCTCAATTATATATCATGTACCGCTAACCCATCACAGGTCGGAGTTGAACCCCAGACACTGCGACATATGTCAGATGTTTATACTACTACACTAGGTAGCATTTGCTGCCTCTCTTTCCGGGAAGTACATGTTAAGGTAGTTGCCTCGCTGAACCTCAATTGACCCCTGCAAAAACATTAATTACTACATCCGGTATAGAGAACATTTTCACAATTTCCGTTAAGGAAAGAGGTTCTTGGTACTCATCCCTATTGCCCAGTCAAGAGAAAAGCTCCTTCCTATCGCGCCCACCTCCCTATCGACTATAACAATACCACTCAGGTGTCAGCTTAATCATTGCTCTAGAGCTTCCGCCTATTGTAGACTTCACAGGCATAGTCCCTGCCGCTACTGGGGGACCTGCATGCTCAGCGGATGTAGAGAATCACCGGGCATTCAGAGCTTCACTCTGGCTGGTCTTCTATTCATTGGCGAGGCATAGACTCGTCAGCCATTGCTCCCATGAATAGATCCTCTTCCTAGCGCTCAGAATGTAGTTACTCTAACAGCTGGTAGCTAACCACACTGCCGGTACTTGCATGTCACTGTGCAACTGGCTTCTAACAATAACTCTCAGCATGTAACCGGACCCTGTGTGTACTCATACACCAGATAGTTGGAATGGCTCCGTTACAGTCAGTCAATTACAGAAGCGAGTGCCTGATCAGTTGAGAGACCTCGTACTCGGTCAGTTGGCGGAGTGGGTGCTTGGCCGAGAAGTAGGAGACAATACCTGCCTCTACCCCCACCACCTAGACCTCCTCCTTTACAACAAACCAAACTTTACCGGTTTTTCAATACGTTCCTTACGTACCTTTTCTAATTCTGTTACTTATCTTTCTTAATTCATTATAATTACCAGGAGCCTGTCAGTAATTCGGGCACCAGCAGTCTCTAAAATATAGGCTAGATAAGTGGGAATCTTGACGATCGGGGGTGACTTATACTTGGACCTTTGTCAACAGATTAGACCATCCAACTTAACATGTGCCTTGTAGAAGGATCGCCCTATCCATCAAACTTAATAAATTGTTTGCGCACCTGGCCAAATCGAAATCTTGATCAACAGATCAGAACAAATATAATAAGACTTACCTCTGATATTAGAGCTGTCGGATCCGGTTGACACTTCTTCCACCACGTACCCGCTACTATTAAAAATTGTATCGTACATGATGAAATAAACCGTGACAGCGTGGAAAGGCCTAGTGAACATGGAAGGATGAAGCAGAAAAAATGTTTGTTATCGGAAAAAAGGAAGGATGCTATATGAATAGCTCACGGTATCAAGTATGTGTTCAAGATGCCTTTTACTAGAAGCTATCGAGTGGCCTAATAACCAAGGCCGGCGGGCATACCGCGTATGCCTGTTCGGTCGAGCCAGATGCAGCAGCGACGTAGCTGCTACCTGCTCATCACCCGCTGACTATGAGCTCGCCAGTAATACAGAGAAGAATACAAGATTCAGCGCACAGCAAAAGAGAAGGCGGCTAGTGGGGGGCTATTCACACTGCCACGTTGAAAATTTGTTAACCGCTGTCACTGTTCTTTTTTCTTATTGGCGTACGGTATAGTAAAATGTCCGGTGAACGGGTAGCGCCTACGAATGGGACAGAACAGCTCCGACCTTCTCATATGAGACATGTCCAGAAATGTTTACTTCCCTGCTCTAAATATATCATATATCGCTCATGCCACCTGCAGGAGTTACTTATTGACATACGTCTAAATAGAGTTTCAAACTTCTTCCCTCTACCGGAATGCCCTTGTTACGCCAACGCCACTTTACCGGACGGCTATCGTTTGTGCCACAGGGAAGAGCCATCGGTACAGAGCAATGGAAGACCCATATAGCAAGAACATTTCTGACCTCTCTTTAACTGAGCTGGCAAACGGGGGATACGAAGCGGGTAGAGAGTTCTATCGCAGAAATACAACAGGCTTTCATTGGGGTCCAGAGCCCAACTACAGAGGAAGCTCGACTATTCTTAGGTCGACCATTATTACGATGATCATGGTTCTCTGGCGTCTAGTCAATGTCGACGTGTATGCCAGCGCAAAAAGCTGGCAAAGAACCCTTTATAACGCTGTCTGGTTAGTCTCTGCCATTATCAGTCCAGCTACAGTCACTCTTTATGCCCGTAAGCAGCTGCGAGAGGCCAGAGACGTCTATAAGTCTTACCTCGAGGCTCCGCGGCCGGAAATGAATAGCGTTCAATAACCTGAGGATGACCTCCCCGTTTGCAATCACCACGTGCCCCCAAACACCCCCAAAAACATTAATAGATACTCTCCTCTCTTAGAGCGGGGCCTAACGCCGGACGAGCTTAAGATGAACGGTGCCTTCCTGGTCATATCTGGCGGCTTCGCGTACGACAATGGTGGGGAGGGCGGCGGAATGATAATCTCCCCTTCAGAATTCAAAAGACTATTGGCCAAAGGGCTGATCGAAAGCTTGGCACATGACTCCGAAGAGATAGAAGACAAACAGGGGATACCTTCGCAAAAATCGTAATCGCTGTTCAATTGTGTTCTGCCTTAATACAATTAATTCTAAGGGAGTTAGCCCCGTTGCCGGTGACGCCACTCGAGGGATATTCCTATATCGTAATATTCACCGGTTTCCTCACATATTTGTATTGGTTGAACAAGCCGTTTGGCGTTCGAAGTCCAGTGAAACTGAGGGTCACGAATTGGGATAAATGGAGACCGCTCTGGGTCGAGGAGAACATTAACCGGAGACCACAAGAGGATAGCTATGGTGTGCTCGACATTTTCAAGAAACACATAGAGGTTTTGAGAGACCCTGAAGACCTTCATTATATATATCCCCTTCTCCGCTATGCAACATCATGCCTCTCATCATGGGGAATCGCATCCGATATTATCTTTCTTACCGACATTGAGAGGCTTGTGTGGAGAGTTTGGTGTGTTGGAGTTGCATCACCACTGCTACTGAGTTTATCTCAGTTTCGACCAGAGGTCAGAGAAACTATACCCTATAAGTTTTTATTCCTTTTGATTTGTCCTTCTACTTTCTCAGTGCCATGGCTATCTGCATTATCTCACTTATATCCATTCGAAATCCCCCGCTCGGCGCGTTTCAAGTTGTTCCATGGAGTAGCTTTCTCCCCTCATTTCACTAGGTTCTTCCTGGGTTTTTTCAGATTTTCTTTCTAGTTCTCTTTTTTCCTAACCATTCCCTCCGATTACCTTTTTCCTTCTTCTTCCTTTTGAAGGTTCATAGACCGGGATGGCTGGAGATACCCCTCGACAGGTTTATGCATCAATTTATGCATTTACGCACCATTTTTGTATAGACAATGCATCAAGTGATGCGTTTTCTGCGCTCCTAGAGCAACGGCAATCGACGAACAACAGTAGGTTTCGCCGAATACCCAATACCAGATTTTGAAATATCTGTTTGTGCGGGCATTCAACGAACATTTAATGTTCTTAGTGGATTTCCGGTGTTCGTGACCTACCTATTGCCGTTTGAGCTCGTTTGGAGGTGGTCTTTCGTCTGACATTTTCTTCTCGGCTTTCGCCAGCATAAAGCTCATCAATGGCTAGTCTTTCGACTCGGGTCTCGCAAGTGGTCCGACTCGGGGGTTTAGATAGCGCTTTCTTCTGCTCCTGTAAGAACTTTATTGATGAGTGCTTGGCGCTCATTGTTCAATTAATTCAGCTGTGAGTTCCTCTTATTGGATGCAGTAGTCGATGTCGAGGGGAAGGGGGATGGGCTCAAGTAGGTGTTGGGGCGGGTGGGGGTTAGGTGGTCTGGTGTGGCGTGGTGTATTGGTTGCGTGACGAAGGTAAGTTGTAGGGGGAGCTAATCAAAACTAGGGCACTCGCGTGTTACGAATCCTGGGGTCTTGGCGGGTGATAATCACCATGGTCAAATGCCAAGAAACCAGATGATACCCGATGATCTGTGAACGCGGAGTGTTCCGATATTCATTTTAGAGCTAACTAAGGTTAATCGGGTTGGGTAGGTTGGATTGAGATTTTAGGACAATAACATTGGCCAAGGAAAAAGCGGTCCAAGTCGAGTTTCAATACATATTAGAAGTGCAATCCGCGAATTTGGGAATTCGGCAACCAGCGCGACACACCAAATGGAGCACCACAACCACTTTCAAGCAACACAGCCACGTCCTTGAATACTCCTCGACACCTTTTGAAAATCTTTAAACAGAAGATACAGAATATATTAATAGTGTAAGAAACCTTTTTTTAAAAAAAAAAAATAAGAAAAATACTTCCCTTAGTGGGGGGGGGGGCTGGTGATCACATCTTTGACACCAGTGCGGCCCAACAAAATAACCGGGTCACTATTACTGTAACCAGCACAATCGCTACGGTCAATGTATCTGATAGTGAACTCTCTACCCCATCCAAACACCCTATAAATTCCTCATATAATAGTTTTTAAAAGTTAATGACTCCCTACTAATAAGCGATGTTCACGGGAGCATGGCAACCAGACATGAGAGCTTACTCGTTTTCGTAACTTCATACTTGTAATCCAATCTATAACCACTGTATAACTCGCTTGATTCGCTCTCCAGGAGATAGATTCATTTTTTAATTTTCCTATTTCTACGGCAATCTAAGCTGCAAATCCTAGAGTCCTTGGGATTAATTATGATCTCTAAAAATAGTGAAAATAAAAATTCTAGTTCTCGCTGTACGCAAGAGGATACCGATACGATACACACCCAACCACCCGGCAACAACAAACCCCGATGACGACTAATTTTATTTGTATTTTGGTGTATTAAAACAATATCTCTTTACATGCACTACTAAGCTGTTTAAAGTTTTGAAGGGCTTGATTGTGTTGCTCGAAGTTGGTTGTTGTGGGTGTGTCGCGCGGTTGTCAAAACCCCAAAACGACGGAGCCGGAAACCGTGTTCAGGTTAAGCGAGGCTTGGCACTGGGGGCGCGCTGTGGAAAGCTTAGCTGTGAGCCGGAAACCGGGTTCAGGTTAAGCGAGGCTTGGCACTGGGGGCCGCGCTGTGGAAAGCTTAGCTGTGAGCCGTGATTATTGTGGTTAGGCATTTGTACTGTGTGAGGTATTGGAGAAGAATGTCAGAGGCTCTCCTCTTATCATCAATAATATTGATATATATATGTACTTATGTATCTACAGCTTGCGGTAAGATTATTGTAGAAGTATGGGAGGAGTCCTATTGGCTTGCCCAGCCATAGAAACCCTGTTTTTAGACCCCTGTTTCTACCTCTCGCTGTATCACCTTTTTGCTACGGAACCTGCCAAGGGCATCTTTGTGTAACATGGGCTGCACCTGGTCGCGGATTGCTGCAGTCTACAAGGCGGTGGATCTTATTCGCTCGTTAAGCTGCGCGTATCAGCCGGAGACACGTGTTTTGGTCCGGATCCCCCCCTATCCATGTCTCCTCTTCTAGGCAGCAACATCTTTGCTACCCTCCTCTACTCTTCTTCCGCACCAAAACCATAAAGTCATACCCTGCTACCATTAGCACTTTTATCTCATTCCGAAACGCAATCGCTATCGCCATTCTTATAAGACTCGTCCGAGTCCAAAATAAGCTCCATAAAAGCAATCAGGTCCACCGCCGCTAAACGCACAACATGGGCTCTGCACAATCCAAAGGCAAAAAAGGGGTATCTAGATTCCGTAGCGCGAAACCAAATGCTAGTTCTATTCCCGCTCTCGAAGCGATCAACTCTCAGGTCCCTGGCCAACATAACTATACCACACGCCCTAGCTCGCCAAAGAACCAACAAGGTATCGTCAATAGGTACGTACACATTCATTTCTCTCTCCATTAACATGATGCACTCTGATAACATTGCCAAGCACTACTCGCGGCACCAGAGCGCTAGTGAATGCTTCTGTTGTAATGGGTGCCCCGAACATTCCGCACGAAGCCGCTCTTCGAATCGGGGCTCCCTCTAGTACCAGGTAGTATCTCAATAGATTAGATGAGCAGTCAAGGGTATAGAACTAACTAATAATATTGAAGCGTCCCGATCGAAACCCCCGAAGCGTCGACTCAGTCCCCCGAAGCGTCGACTCAGGTCCCCCAAGCGTCGACTCAGGCCCCCGAAGCGGTGACGCAAGCTCTCTCGCCTCCCCCTAACCCCCCGGCGTTAGCTCTGACCCCTCCGCAGAGAAAAGACACCGTCACGGCAAAGTATGTTGCCCCCCCCACCCCCGGAATGCTGTTTTAAGTTCAAGAATGTGAGTTCATACGTATGGGTTGCTAACTTCTACCAGGAAGGGTATCAATCTCTGGCAAGTTGCTCGTGAAAAGCTACCGAAGGAAAGGCGGGAAAGAGTCTTTAAAGATGAAAGCTGCGACCAAAACCTAGTTCAGGCTCTCATTAATCGTGTCGAACGCAAAAAAGACGACATCGACGACAAGCGATGGTATTACGAGAAGGAGGATGGCAGCAAGGTTTTCTATATGGAATCCGCCTTGGAGCAACTACAGAAGTACGCCGGCATAGGAGACATTGCTATCCAGCACAACCCTGACGTTGTTGCGCTGGCATGGGCAGGATTTCGGTTTCTCTTAAATGTAGGTTCCCGGAACATATTGGTGGACTGGTTGAGCTGCTCCAAGCTCCTTTTTACTCACTTACTCTAGGTTGCGTCTGCACACACCGAGAACATGAAATCTATTGGAGAGAGCTTTTCTTATCTCTTGCGCATCATATGCTGCTGTGATATTTATGAGAGGCTTTACATAAATGAGAGCTTCAAAATTTCAGAACACCTTACAAACTCTATTGTCGATCTTTACGTATCAGTCTTGGAATACCTTCTCTATGCCGAGGGGCATCTCCAGAAAAGCACCACTGGTCAATATGCCTGTCGCATGTGCAGAGCCCTGTACTAATCTTTACTTTCTACAGAACAAGTATTTAATAGCTTTTTGGCCGGGTCCAAGAGTATGCTGCTGGAGATGCAAGCTTTAGAAAGGGTAGTTAACGATAATGCCGCAGTAGCTGCAAAAGAGGGTTAGATACTCAATTCTATTCTTAGGTACTGCGATAATACTAATAAAGAAGAATGATGTAGCTACGGACGCCGGACTCACCCGTATGTTCCCTATCTCTGTGTGTCTATCGTGAGGAAAGGCTAATAAATGGTAGATCAAATCAAGAACTCCGAAACCCTGAAATGCCTTCTGGAACTTATGAACACAGTACAGGTGCCGATCATGGGCATGCAATCCTCCGTCGAAAAAATGCTTTCAATCGTCAAGGGTGAGTAAGGGATATCCCTACCTTATCCATGCTTGTAATACCAACAATAAACCCAAATTTAGACCAAAGACGGTCTGAAATCTTAATGTGGCTGTCTAAAATGCCATTCAACGATCATCATAATTACTTCAGTAAGCGTCGCCGCGAGGGTACTGGGGAGTGGCTTCTTCAACATGAAAAGTACGGGGCGTGGAAGATGTCTGAAAAATCGTCAATATTTTGGTTACGTGGAGGAGGTAGGTGAAGAGATATCACTTCAGCCCCTCTTAACCATCAACCCACCCCGATCTATACTGACAATAAACTCCTTAGCTGGATGTGGCAAGAGCTTTCTGGCGTAAGCCCCCTAGAACGATTGGCCCTCTATTGATTACACAGGCTAATTCATCATAGCTCACGGATAGTCGACCACTTCCGGGAAGAGGCCGGGAACGTTCATGACCGCAGATATGCAGTTGTGCACTTCTACTGTCACTATACAGAAGACGGGAGGAACGATCCTGAGTCAATTTTGAGGACTATCGTCAAGCAGATGTGCCTTACGATGGACGAAGACTCAAAAGCGCTACCAAACCCCCTTTTGAAAATCTATGAGCAACGCGAAAGGAACGGCCACTCATCTGGCCCTCTCAACGTGGAGGAGAGCGGAGACCTGATTATTGATCTTTGCCGTGGGTTTAAGAAGGTCACTCTCATCATCGACGCCCTTGATGAGTGTAATACGGATACGAGACGGGCGTTATTTCGCGCGCTAAATCGTATCTCCTTGAAATCGAATTCTATCAAGATTTTCGTCACGGGACGAAACAGTGATGATATTCAAAACACACTGATTGATCATTCTAGTCATTATATTGACGCAACAGACAACTCAAAGGACATCAATCACTATATCGAGACAGAAATCGAGCGTCGCTCAAATCACAGAGAATTGCGGAATGATGAAGAACCACTGCTAGATGGGGATGTTGTATCCAAACAATTGAAGGACTACATAAAATCGACATTGCAGGAAAGGGCGAATGGAATGTATGATTATTGTTAGGCATCATAAAGATTTACCGCTTACTAATATTTCTCTGTTTAGGTTCATGTGGGTACAGTTCCAAATTGTCGCTATCTGCAAGGAACGGACGCAGGGCGACATTTACAAGGCAATCGGCTCTCTCCCCAAAGATCTGGACGCCACTTACAGTCGCATAATCCACGGTCTCAAATCGCAGGGTGAATCGATTTCCACTGTTGCTGAGAAGGTCTTGAAGTGGATATACTTCGCAGTGAAGCCTTCATCGCCTGATACAATAATTCAATCCTTGGCCGTGAAACCGAATGAGGCAGTCCCAGATCTGAAACCGCTCGAGTGGACGTTAAAGAAAGTTCTAGCCGCATGTCAAAATCTTGTTATCTTCGACGAGACGTTAAAAATCCTACGGTTCGCACACTTCTCTGTACAGGAGTATCTTCAACGTCAACCCGAGTTTTCTGAAGAGACCGGCCATGCATACATGGCGGATATATGTCTTACACTGCTTACCTACGACTCAGAAGGTATTAATGGGTGCCAATTACCTGAACTCGAACGGTATGCCGTAAAGTATTGGGGCTCTCATGCCCGCCTCTCGGGGCTTTCAACTGTTGATCGTTGCATGGAGCTTTTGAATAACCCAACAGTCTATCGCGCATGGTGTCATCGGGCGGCTCCAGAGGATGAAGAATTGCGGGCAACGCTTTCCAACGGTGGTCCGCCTACTCCTACTCCAACTCCATTCTGGGTGGCATGTTACTATGGCCTGCCGCATGTACTTGAACGATTAGACCAGTCGCAAGTGAACGCTGAGAACCTTGGGGGGAAAACACCATTGATTGCCGCTTCATGGCAGCAACATGAGGTCATCGTACGTATGCTGTTGGATATAGATGGAGTGGACGTCAACAAAGCGAACCGCAGAGGCTCTCCTATGTCATGGGTTGCAAGAAATGGCAATCAGGATATATTAAAGATGCTGCTCGCTGTAGAAGGGGTGGATGTGAACAAATCAGATCAATATGGTATGACACCACTGTCCCTGGCCACCCAACATGGTCATGAAAAGATAGTGGCCACGTTGCTGGCCGTGGACAGGGTGAATGTGAACAAGGCAAACCCCACGAACGAGACACCACTGTCCTGGGCTGCCCACCGTGGTCATAAAAAGATAGTGGCCATGTTGCTGGCCGTAGACGGGGTCGATGTGAACGCAGGAACAACAGCGGGCGAGACACCACTTATTAGAGCTGTCTATCCTGGTTATGAAAAGATAGTGGCAATGTTGCTGGCCGCGGACGGGGTGAATGTGAACGCAAAGAGCAAAACAGGGAGGACACCACTATGGGTGGCTGCGAATACTGGCCGTGAAAAGATATTAACCATGTTGCTGGCCGTGGACGGGGTGAATGTAAATGCAAAGAACGAAGATGGTCACACAGCACTGTCGCGGGCTTTGACCAACGGATATCAGGAAATAGCACGCCTACTACGTGCCGCAGGTGCTTCGGAGACGGGAGACGCTTAGCCTTTGACAGTCTGACTGTACGTTAAATCCCACGCAAAAGAAACACAGTTGAAGACCTTCTGGTATAAAGGCTGTTCAGATAGCTGATGTGTTCCCTTTTGCATTCCTCACAAGCTACAAGACATTATATCTTTCACTATTTCAATGTTATATAATGTAAATATAACTGCAGGCTGGATGCAAGAAAAATGGCGAACAGCCAATCTCATCTGTTAGGTTTCTTCTCCTTATATTCCCTTAAGACCGTATTTGTGTAGTGTAGTATCACGTTCATTCATCTCAAATTTCCCAATCTCACATATTCTTTTACCAATTCTCTTCTATGCCAATGCCCTTATCCATCTTGTCAAAGTATTCACCCTCTACTCTGGTCACGCTAGATGTCGTATATAGTAAAAAAAATGGAAGTAGGGACTTGGAACTGTCAACTCTCAAAGTGCACTCACGAACGCCGCAGTAATTACTGAACATGGGTTTAGAAGAGATCACCATCCTTAGCTCCCTATCTGCAAGATAAAATTGCAGTCCGGGATAGATGCTCAATCTCTAGGGCTGACATGCAGCCTGATGCAGGTACGCGGGCATGACGGCGGTACCTGCATTGGCAAGATTCCAGCAACCTCACCTGTCGTACATAGCACGGTCAATCCCTGCGGTGCCGGCGATGCCACACCCTCGGGAGTAGCCGCATGTACCCTCTCGGCGTCGACCCGAAACCAGGGATCAATGTTGTACTACTAACAACACTAGGCCAACTACCATCTACCCCAATAAAAGAAACAAGAAACAGCATTGTTGATGAGTACTTCCAGGTTGAACTGATAAACTGAGGTCACAGGTACAGCTTTCATATCACAAAACACTTGTTAAGTAGATCATAAGGGGAAAGAGCTGTCTGTAAACTGCGTTTTGTAAGTGTGCTATCCGAACGATGAACGCGCCCTATCCGGGAACGCCTGTCACTGGGGCACCCCAACGAAGAACGGTCATGAATAGGAGAACCAAGTCATGACTGGGGGGAGTTCCCGGATGGGACCACCAACCGCAGCTTTCTCAAATGGTTAAGTCATATATGATCACTCGAATTGTTATTTTGTAATTATTTCAACGATTGAACAACCCACCATGTGACACATAGTAAATACTAGGTTGAACGTTACCTATACATGATTATTATATATATCTATCTAGTATTTTTATATATTTCAAGCCGGCCTAGTTAGTAGCTAAGACTCAATGTTCTAGCCAGATAAGGTTAAGAGCTGATACTAAATAAGTAAACTTTTTCACTCGAACAGATTTGAGAAACGTACAACAATCTAGGTCTTATACTCTTATCATTCCAGCCCAATTTTCGAACTATGAATGCTCTTCTGAGCTCTCCCTTTTCTGATCAAGCCAGAGTAGCTTGGTTTGAATACCTCGCGGGCCCAAGAACACAAACCTCTCACGTCCGGATTTAGACTGTATGGGATTGATCCTGCAGTTGATTGGCGGAAAACCTCATATTGGTGAGAAGGAACGATGCTTGAAGCATGACATAAAGACCAAGTATGCCCTGTTAGATGGCTGTTTGTATTTCAAGAAGTCGGGAGGATCTTTCAAGTGTATGCTTTTTGATAGCCAGGTATATGATGAGATTATCAAGTCGCACTTGAATTTGGGACATGCCGGTGTTGGGAAGACCTATCGTGATCTAGAGAAAGATTTCTACGGCATTACTCGCAATGAAGTAGGGTTTTTACTCGCAATGAAGTAGGGTTTTTACTAGAGCATTGAATGACATGCGGAAAGGGTAGGATACAGAGGAAGACAGCACCAATTCATCCGATTACGGTGAATAAACTTTGGAAACGGGTACAAGTTGACCTTATCGACATGAGAGCAACTTCAGATGGAGAATTTAAGTGGATTTGTCATATGCGAGATCACTTTAGCAAGTACTCAGCGGCATAGCCCTTAAGGGATAAGGAAAGCAGCTCTATTGCGAGCGTCATATCTATTTGGATTACCCATTTTGGCCCGCCACATATCCTTCATTGTGACAACGGTACCGAATTCAAAGGAGCACTGCTTTTGCTCTTAAGGGATCACGAAATTAAGGTAGGTGCAAGATACCACTGTTTGAATAATCACTAACAACATTAGGTCATTAATGGTTGTGCACGTCATCCACAGAGCCAAGGTCTAATTGAACAGGCAAATCGTTTGTTGAAGTAGAAGATTGCAGCATGGGAGTCAGACCACCAGAGCATCTGTTGGACAACTGCTTTACCCAAGGTAATAATGGGTATGAACAGCCAACGCCATTCTGCCACTCAGGGGTCACCATACGAGATTGTGTACTGTGCAACGGGTACGTGCACAGTTGTTTATGAAGCGGAAGATGATATTTTTATTATCTTTCATACAAGCTATTTAATTATGATAGTCGGTCAGATGTATAAGCCCGCCTACCATGCCAGGTCGCCGCATGGCTAGCGGAGCTTTCTCGCCTATGGCCGATGGCAAGTCACCGCCATGTCGCTACCATGCGTAGTATCACCACCGGCCTCCATTTGAGAGCCGGTATAAGTACATTAAGCATCAGTGTTCTTGTACAGCGTAGCATTGTATTCAACCAACGAATTCTGGGCCAAAGAGTTCCTTTTACTGCTCGAGCCGATGCCACGGTGCCTGAGGAACCTCTTGTTGGCTTAGAATCAGGCAGCATAGAACAAACATTACGGGACAGTACTCCAGTATCTCCTGTTATGCAGGGGAATTGTTATAGGAAACACGAACACTGCTCCTAAGTCAAGGAACAAGGATAATATGAGTGATGGGTTGTGATGCGAGTACGGTCGGGTAACGAAGGAACAAGCATAGAAAGGTACCGAGGGGTGTGGGGGCACCGGGTGCAACCACACTAGTATTAGGCTGTTGTGAGGGCACGCTTACTATTGGGTGTCTCACCCGGAACGGAATAGAAGCGGGGCTTATGGCTGCAGGCCATTCTACTTAGGGAAGTAGCTCTAGGACAACAGCATGATACAGCTCGGTTACTGGCAATTGCGGGGTTTATGGTTACGTGTCAGAATTAGAATGGAGGAACGGAACTATGCGGGGGCGCTTTTCTATTGGGGTTATCTTCGGGTTGATTGTCTTATTCTATTATCGTTATCTCATTAGTATTAGAAAGCGGGCCTTGGCATAGGTTCCAATATGTATAAATAGGGAAGGGTTCCGCCTCGTCTTAGTGGCATCATCAGTCACTCAGCGAGCGGAATCCGGTTTACAATATTACAAGTTTAAAAGCTACAGAACTACCGCTTAGCATTGGCATTTCCCCAAACAGGAATGCTCAAATTGACTCCACTTTGTCGGATATTAACATAGCAATTTCAGAAGATGAGTCCTGTCATAATTACACATGATCATATACTGAGACAATCACCATGCTGAGGCCTTCCAATGGGCTCGCCCGGGCCAGAAAATACCTCAGCCCGGCCTAGACCAGCCCATGAAAGCGGCAGCCCAGCCCAGCAAGCTAGAACATACTGGGACGAGCTCAGCTGTACTGGGGCAACCTAAGCTGTACTGGGACGAGCAAAGAGCTCCTGCAGTGGCTCCAGCGCTTCTGGGATGAGTGCAGGTACTGGGAGGGCTCCTGGGGTGGGTGCAGCTGTACTGGGGCGAGGGGTGTTATGCCGGCTTAGCATAGAGGTCATGGGACAAGTATAGGTACTGGGAGAGCTCCTGGGCCGAGTACAGGTGATGTTAGAGCTGCTGGGGCGAGCATAGTTACTGGTATAGCTCCCTGGATGAGTACAACTATCCTGGGGCGAGACAATAGCTCCTGGGGCAAGGATAGCTGTACTGGGGCGAGGAGAGCTATCTTTTTTGGCTATAGAGCTCCACTGAGCGAGAAACTGGCGCCGCGAAGACGCAGAAAATACGAGTACGATTAGAATGGGTTAAAGTGCATGATGGGATAACAGGAAATCAGGAAGCGGACAAAGAAGTAAAAGTGGCGGTCGAGCGGGGAGCTATTGAAAGAGACCACTTTATATCCTTTGCCTATCTGGAGCGAGAATTCCTGGAGAGAACTATTATGGAATGGGAAGAAGAGTGGGAGACTCGGGCCAACAAAGATAATGCACACTTGAAGCCATCAAAACGACGCTCCAGCAGATCTGAGCTCACAGAAATTTGAATAAATCGAGTTATTATCAGCAGATTGCGGACATGATACGTGGATGTTAATAAATACCTATACCGGATTAAAAAGAAAGCCAGCCCCGAATGCGAATGCGGCAAAGGAGAATAGAGCGTTACGTATGTTCTAACCAAGTGCGAAGCAACGGAGAGAGCTAGGATGAGCAATCAAGAAAACCGGACAGTTATAAAGCTACTTTGGACTACGCAAGGGATTAAAATAGCATTGCAAATCTGGAAGCAATTTACGAAATGGCGACATAACAGAGGAGGGAGAAACGAAGACAGAGAAGAAGAAGCCAGAGAAATGGAAAGGGTCTGGGGTGGCTTGCGGGATAGCCCGTAGAATTATAAATTGCTCAGAAGTTACTTTTCTTATATTATAAGTTATTAGTTTGAGAGTTGGGTTTGCTTTGTTTAGTTGGGTTTTGTTTTGTTTTCTTTTGTTTTGTTTTCTTTTATTTTGTTTTATTTTGGTTTGTATTGTGAGTGGCAGTGGAAGTGATTTGGGAAGTTCCGGGGTAGTGTGATATTGTCATAGACTATGGTCTGCATACAATTAATGAATTAAACAAAAAAAAAAAAAAGAGCGAGCAACTGGGGGCAGTGTATCATGAGGTATCACTCGGTTCGTACAAAAAGACTGCATCGACTTTCGCCAGCTGTTTACCCCTTTTGCCACCCAACTCATTTGCAATTTGGGGTTACGCTAATGGATAAACAGCTGGAGTCTTATGCCTTACCTCCAGAGGAATAAATTGATGGTACAGTAATCGGACAAGCCTCTTCCTCTCTTGGCAAGGCGTCTATCCATTTCGTGTGGACGATATGATGCACCTTTGAGGCCTCAATTATATATCGTAGTGCCTAAAACCCATTACAGGTCGAGATGTTGAACCCCAAACACTCTGACATATGACAGATGTTTATATTAGTACACTAGGTAGAGATAGCTGACTTTATTTCCTGGAGGTACATGGTAAGCAGTAGCGTCAAATCTTAATTTTATTGTAGCTTACGTCACATGCTGGCTGAGCTCGAGCTCTGCTCCACTACTAACACACCCTGGTGTGCGCCAGGATCACCCTATCCAATCAACTGTCTGTATCGGTCAGAACAAACCCGAGTGATTTTGTATGAACCTGATATCTGTTCATGGCTGGAGCAACCATCCACGGACAATATCACACTCCCAACCAGGAGCGATATCTTTGGGCACCCCATCCAGGACCGGCCTCCAGTCATGACCTGGCTCTCCTATTCATGACCATTCCTGATTGGGGTGCCCCAGTGACAAGCGTTCCCGGATGGCGTGCGTTCGTCGCTGGGAGAGTACATACGCCATTTATGTGCTCCGGACCAAACGCCTGACATGACCCATGCCATTCATCGGACACTTGACTATCAAGAGGGCTACTTCTCCGTGCAGTACGGCCAATTCCGTCTAAATGCCTCCGGTGACCTCGCCCCCCGAACCATGTACTACCTTCACGCGCCCACCATACAAACATACTGCCGTCCAAAGCCTGCCTGATATAATTGGCCCACACCCCTGCTGAGGCGCAACGGGATCACCATGATTTCCAGCCGCACCACCCCTGCATGGCAACCCCTGCCATCACGTTGCTCGGATCACTGATCAGCGCTCCTGCAGCCGCTGCCAGATCCGTGCATGGCCCTCGTTTATCTCCGATTTCCCTGCTAGGCGAGACCCACATACAAAATATTCCTTGGCTGCAGACTCGGCGGCCAGTGTTTCTGTCGTAGAGGACCCCAAGTCTCGGCCAGTAGGGATCTCGCAGAGCAGGGAAACGGAGTAATGTCTCACTCAACCTCTCGCGTTTCTCTTTCTGGTTTCCGACGACGTCACTGTCCACAAGTGACTATGTAGGTACTGTAGGTAACCCATAGGTTGAGTGATAAGCCATGATCACAGGTAAAAGAGGGAAAAAATAAGGTAATGTTCGCCAGAAAGAGGAACCTAACAGCCCCAACCCACTGACAGAATTCCCTTATCATTGATCATTGGGTCAAGTATACATCAAGATGCCGACTTGGCACGCGGACTGCCCCATTCATCATCCTTGTGGATAGGGGGCGCACTTGGCCAAATTGACATCTAGCTCGCCGGAGCTGAACAAGCCCGCGCCCACCACTGCGAGCCCCGCACAAGGTCCACCATCATCCCCGACAGGTCCGTCCTAGTCCCACAGAGGGAGATAGTAATGGCCGAAACAGTCATGGTTGCGAAATGCTACTGAAACGGAAAAAACAAGCTAATCATTTTCCAAGTTATTAGATACAGCTGACTGAAATAATAAGCAAAGAACCCGTGGAGGGAAGGAGGACATCGCGCTCCTGGCCAGTAGAGAGATTGCAGCAGTAATAGCGCGCCGTGGCTACTAGAGGGTTCCGCGGATGCTAATAAGGGGTCGAGCATAGACTAGGTGTTGAAATTACTGTGCGAGCATAGGAGCAATTTCCTACTACTCATAGTAGTGTCATACATACACTATTATAGACTCAATATTTTTGTATAAATAAGGGCTTGATCTGCCCTCTGTATTACAGTTATGCAAGTCAATTGAGAAAGTCAAAGTCTTCCGCATTTATTATTATTTATTATTATATTTTATCATTTATTTATTATTTATTTATAACACTAGGGCTATCAGGGCGGCCGAGTGACCAACCCCCCCAGCAAGAAGGCAGCCAAGGCAGCCGCAGCCCCGGCCCCAGGATCCGCCCCGAAGGCGAAGCCCCTACCGTCTGCCCACCGCCGCTTCTTCGCCACCAGGACTACCCCCTGCCCCATCGCCAATGCCGAAAGGCTGTCGGCAACCCTTCCCCGCCTCTTCGGTCAAGCTCTGGCCCGAAGCCACCAAGTCGCCCCTGTCACCTCCCTCACCGTCACCATCAACAACAGAGGCACAGTCTCTGTTACCGCTCCTCCCACCGTCCCATCAACGGTCTACGTACCCTTCTTCGAGGCCCTCACCACGATCCTGAACGTGGAGGTAGCCTCCCCAGAAAACCCCTTCACCACCTTCCGCACCGCTCCCACCAACGTCGATCTCGCCATCCATGGCGTCCCCCTCTACGAGCTCCCTAACCAGGAATGCCTAGAGGAGATCCTGCCCTCCGCGCTTAAACTAGCCGTTGGCATCACCCCCGCTGCCGTCCGTTTCCTAAACACGAACGAAACCTCCCGCTCCTCCAAGGCCACCACCTCTGTCATCGTCTCCGTGACGGCGGAAGAGGCAGCAACCATTGGAACCACCATCCGCCTCTTCTCCCGCCCCAGACGCTGCAATGTCATGTGGCGAGCATCCTCCACCACACAATGCAGGAACTGCTGCAAACTAGGCCACGCCACCCAGGGATGCAGGTCCCCCGTCGCCTGCCCCCTGTGCACCCTCCCCCACAAACTCCAAGACCACCGCTGCCCAGTTGCCACGTGCAAAGGAGCATCGACGCCTCTTGAAAACTGCTGCGAAATCTCTCCCGCCAAGTGCGTCAACTGCAACGGGACCCACCGCTCCTTCGCCCCAGCCTGCCCCAGCAGGAAACCCACCACTCCCCCGACCCCCCCCAACCCCCAGACCGCGATGGAAATCTCATAAAAACGCCGCGCCACCCCACCACTACCCCCAGGAGACTAGGTTCTCGGAGGCTCCATTAAGGATTTTTCCCCTCTCATATTTTCTTTTGTCTTCGTAAGTCTTTTATATAGGTGGAAAAACAGCCGGTCGGGGATAGGTCTTTACGCCATAGTTTATACTTTATGCGATTCTTTGTACCTAGAAACAATAGAGCTTGATATAAAAAAAAAAAAAAAAAAAAGGGCGGCCGAGTGATATTCCATGATTAATGTAAAGGTTGTGGAGGTCGTGTTGTATCAGTGGGTACTACCACCAGCGGGTATGATACGGTAACGGCGAGCAGCGGGCCGAAGTGTTAATCCGTGAACGAGGACGCACCTCGCATGTACACTCGGTCGGTGGTGAAGCTCGGTGGGCGGTGAACACAGTAACCCGCTTGTTCGGGAACGAGCGTATCAAGGAAAAAGAAGATGAAGGTCCGTAACCATGTCCACAGTTAAGTAAAACCTACTCCGACTTGGGGGAGCCTTTATCCAAGTGACAGGACAAATAGTCTCGGCGCCTCGGTCGGAAACGGCGGGGGACATGGAGCAAGTGTGGCACGTTTCTTTTCATCATTTCCGCATGGAGGTGGCTGCATACATGTATCCCAGAAGGTCTGGTTATCGAGCAGCGTGAAGCGCGTTTTACGTGTTTCAGCTTTGAGCATGAGCCGACCAGACAGACTCCTGCATGGTTTACATTGCCGGGGGGGGTTGTGCTTCCATCGCAACCGGCTGAAAGATGTACACATCACCGGTCAGGATATTACCGGTAGGGACGCACTGAGTATGTGAGGCCAGGTTGTTTTATTAAACTGTAAAGATGCCTGAATAACGGTTAACACCAGTAAGGACCTCGCACGCCAGAACGATCCATCACTCATGGATTATCAATCAACCAATCAGGGGTAGTCAATTTAATTAATGATAAATCCATCGACGAATCAACAGTAATCCTTCACGTGGCATCACTGGGCGTAGTGTATTTATGACGTTTGCTTATTACTCCTTTTTTTTTTTTTTAATTCATGAATTGTATGCGGCCTTGCGGCTATGACAATATTGTACAAGACCCCAGAACTTCCCGTCAACATCCTCCGCCTCTCACAAATGTAAGGAAATAAAATAACAACAGCGATGAAATATAATATCTCTCGAAATGTACGCCGTGAGAGTTTATTCTTCCCAATTATACGTTTCCCTGTGCAACGACAGGCTATACGCTGTCACTCAGTCCGCCCAGCCCATCTCATTTCTCTCCTTTTCTCTTCCTCGTGTTTATCTCTTCCCTCTGGCGTTTTCTTATATAAATATACTGTGCTCTACAAGCGTAGCACTCCATCAATTCGTTATATACTGCAGCAACCCACACAAATAAAAATCCCTAACAAACATTCCCACCACCGAATCCATCAAGCTTCAGTCTTTACCTTGCGATAGGTCGATAGATAATCCGCGGTGCTGCGAGGGTCCTTGATCCTTTCCTCATCCCATATATCCCACCACTCTTCGTTGGCCGTAACTACGAGACGACCCTGCGAGTCCCGCCCCAGAAGTATTATCCCCGCATTTCTCCCCTTTGTAGGACTGTCATATCTCCAATTCTCTACGCGATGTTTAAAGATGTAGCACTTGTAGTTGTACTTTGACGGGACACCCATCGCACCAGGCCTACGCTTGCCTGACAGGAGTATATTGAGGTTCGACTGTGCGCCGTTAGCGGAGTTCTCCGAGCGCATGTTCCAGAGGCTGTCTGGATTGGAGGAGAAGATGTGTATAGTCGAGCTGCCTTGCCGAGTGGTATGGCTAACCATCGCTTCGAGAATACGCAGGTTGGGTAATCCGTGCAAGCTCTGCTTCGCACACACAAGATAGACATTCGCCTTGATACGGTTATAGAACTCGACAGATGTGGAACAGAGGGATCCATGGTGTGGGATCTTGAGCACATCGACCGACCTAGGGGTTATTGGCCCCGCAAAGCCGAATACCGTGTCTCGAATCTGGCGTTCTCTGTCGTGGGCATCCCCAGTGAAGAGCATGCTGAGCGCCGGGTTTGATTCGCGGGCCTTAGGATCTGCGGAGGGCCAGCGGCGGAAAAGCGTGACGATGCTCGCCATGTTGTGGAGGACACTATCCTTGCTTTTACCCTTTTTCATCGCGTCCTGGTCTTATTCCATGCGCATACTGTCGCCGATAAATTCCTCGTAGATTGTTTTTGTCGGGCCGATAATGTCAACTGTTCCGAGGCTGTTCGGGGCCTGGTACCAATCGCCTATATGCTCACCGTGGCCTGGCGTTAGCCACCGCACCAGACCGTGTTACGCCGCAGTTAGACTGCGATAAAAGTAAAGAAACCCAAAGAGAGAAAGAAGAAAGAGGGGAAGGGAGATACAAACCCCGCTTAGGACTAAGGATCATTCTATGTATAAAAGGCCTCTCCCAAGCACGACCAAGCTTCACTTCTTCCCGATAAACCTTGTCCAACCCCTCCTCGATTTGATGATACCTCTGGTTAGCCCTCTTCTTCTCTCCGGCGGGCACACACTGCTTTGTCACAGGGTCCTATCCAGCAACACCCGGGAGCAGATCCTTCGTGCGTGGCGTTGGCGGGCGGTCTTTCAACTTAAGAATACGTCTCCCAGTTGTATGGTCTAGTTTGATGTCAAATGTTTCCCTGACGTAGAACATGTTCTTGTGGGCTGTGCGCAGGTTGCACTCTATCATCTGGTTACTGTTGCCTACTTTTTTGCGTCTGAACATGGACACTACGCAGTCGACGGTGAGTACCTCCCTTGGCTTGGCTATGTCCGCAGCTATGATCACGCACTCGGGGGACGGGGAGGTGACAAAGGCTTTGCCTTCTTTTTATTTTTTATCTTTTTCCTTTAATTCATCAATTAAGGGATTGACTTGATTGATGGCGAAGGTGTAGAGAAGATAGATGTTGTAGCGTCCATCCTCAAGGGCCTTCTGGTGCTCACCAAAGAAATCAAGAGACATGCAAGTCACCATGTAGGGGTCTTGATTGAGGGATGTGTTGGTTAAGGAAGATTTCGTAAGGGGATATGGTGGGCATACAGTATTTGGAATGGTTCCTTGAGGGGATAGAGAGGGACGGGTCGTACCCCCCCTCAGATTCAGGTTCCTCTCCTTATAATCGCGATGTATCAGCATAATCCCCAAACACTACCAAGCATGGATGTACTAACTTATCTCATTAAGACACAAAAACCACCGGAGGTTTCGGTTTGGTAGATAATGGAACGCGAAGACCGTTCTCTCAAAGTGTCTTTGTAAGGTTTCCTCTGTCGCTAATGCCTCAAGGAGTTTCTGCCCTGTATGTATATTCCCGCTCATCAGCAATCTGTACATCACCATCCGCCTCTCCACGCCAGGGTGGGAAAACAAAATCCTTTTATACGTATGGACACAGATCCTACAAACCTCCACCACTATGATCCTCGTCCGTATGCGTAAACTGTACCATCAAAAGATTCGGATGTTCTTTTCCGGGAGGTCCCCCTTGGGACCGATGGGCTGCTTATATGCTACGATCACCCTAATGAGATTACGTCTGATCATCTCATGATCTGGCCCGGTATCGATCAAGTATCGCTCCCAGGAGTAGGAGTCGGGCTCGTAAGTGCCATTCTTTGTGGGATTCTTGGTGCATATATCGATAATGTTGCTGTCCCCATGCGCGGCGTCGAGCATGATGATTTGCGCCAGGGGTGTGGCGACCTGCTCGGGGAAGGCAGCCTGGATGATTGTGCCGGCGAATTCGGCGGATATCATGGTTGGTTGGTATTCGGGAGAAGGAAAGGGAGCTAGTATCTAGGGCGGGGATGTGAGGTGTTCAGACTGAGGGGGAGAGTAAGGGTTTGGGGGGGGGGGGAGGGGGAAGCAGGAGATATAGAGATGTTACCCGAAAGCTATTCACTAAGATTTACCCGATGGATGGAATCCACAGAACATATGTCAAAGCACGACATCGCCCGGGGGAGGAGGGGCTGCTCCTTGCCCAGGATGCGATATTTCCAAGTATCAATTCCCCCTGTCCATCCTGCTCTTTTTTTTTTTTTTTTTTTTCTCCCCCGCTTGCCCCCGCGTCGAACCTGGCTCTCAGCCCCACATGTGCGGTGCGAACGGTACTCAAACCAATGTTCCGGGATCCACGACCTTGAACGCGTTGACCAGTTGGAGATTCCAATTCCCTCATCGCGTGCTTGCGAAAGTTCAGCTTCAGCTCTAATAGAGGGCGTAAAGTGATGCAGGTGGGATACGGGGACATCCAGCAGACCTTTGTGATACTGAGGCTTTTCGCGGTCTGGAGCTCGCCATCATATGCATAGGTTATGCTCAGGCACGAATGTGCAGGAGTGATGGTGATGGTGCCGCAGCCTAGATAGTCTTTATACACTGGCTCGGAAAACAAGACAGATCATGAATTCAATTGCAATCGTTTCACAACACGGCCACGGCATAACCGGCGCGGCGCCACAACGTGGGCAGGTCAAGTTCCGGGCTGTTTGGCTAGCGCAAGATCACAGAGGTCGGTCTAGAGTTCGAAATGGACGCCAAATGCTAAAACACCGATATGCACCTCACCGGGTTATCAAACCCATCGGAGATCTAGGCCCCGAAGGCCGAGGCAACAACTATCGGCGCCCCAGTCCATGCGTGAACATTAGCCGTTGTGCACATTCCCACCCGGCAGGTCGCCGTTCCAGAGTGTTCGGCCATGGCTCTGAAACCTCCGCCGTGTTTGACGTTTTCAACGCGCTAGGACATGCTGGAAGTTGCCATTTGGAGTTAAGGTCTCGAGCTCAGATGGGGGAAGCAGGTACGGAAAGAGTTATTGATGTCTAACTCTCTATGGATGGGCGTCAGCGGAGGACAATAGACACTGTTTTGTCCGGCAGATATATGATCTAGTACAAATGTGAAGTTGGTCACCTTTTCGCCTATGGTGGGGTCGCCATCTCGGAATATTTAGTCAGCCATGGCGGGGGAGAAACCCGCTATTCCTGAAGTTCCCAAATTAAGCTGCCAGGGTCATTTGTGGGATTCCAAGGTCATGGCATGAGGAAAAAAAGACCTTTGAGACATTGTCTTTAATATTACTTTGTAAAATGTGTTGATTGGGATCCATTTGCAATGGTTTAATTGGTCTAGGGTAACGGCATTGTTCAGTTTCTACTTGCGATGATGACCAGTGTTTGGGACAAGGTTGGCAATACTCGTGATTACGCCTGTCTTTTGGGTTGTGACACACCCACCAGCCCACCAGAGACTGGCACCAGCACTAACCTTGGAATATAGTCCCCATTACACATATACCCTCACCACCACCCTTTCTCTCGCTCGCTCATATCGCTCTCTCCCGGTCCTCCGCCAAGCCTTCCATCTCCGCTCCCGCCAGCGTCTCTACCTACCTCCGCTCCAGCCTCCGTCCGTAATCCTTCCCCTGGAACCTGACATCCGCGACCAAACCTCTAAATCGTATCGAGTTTACCGCTCTTCTGTCTGTGGTTTTGTTGGACCGAGGCGATGAACCCTAACCCTGGGCGCGAGCGATGGATTATGATGATCACGACCGCCAGCGAGTGAGAAGGTATGAGCGGGTGTTGTGGAATGATGCGGGCGATGTAGAATGATAATATAATTTCGTGATCTTGTTAGCGCTCATAGGCGCAGGAAAGATCGAGTCCTGGCACGACACCTCTCAAGGTCTATGGTCAGGTTGCGCCGGGGATCATGCGCAGGTTTTTCCAATGTAATAATCACCGGCGGACAATAGTGATATGACTGATACGGTATTCATATTGTTTTTTTATCCAGTCTTTCTCGGATTACACAATTCCCAAATTTATCCAATGTCTCTACTCTTAGTGTCGACCACATTCGTTATTTTCAATGAGATGTCTTGATCACCGCCCCATTAATTAGCATGCATTCCCTTCCCCCCACTTCCTCCCGTGCTCCTCTAACTCCCATGTCTCTTTCCTCTCGAAGAAGTCATTGATTGCTGCTCCGGTAGTCTGGATCGCCCACTGCCATCACCATTAGCTTAGATCAACGCGATTCAGGAAGGATGGTGACGAACCTTCACTTTCCAGACATCCTGGATAATATCATATGGAGCCGCTTATGATGAAGATGTTTCGGTCAAGGCATGATGACACGATTTAAACATTTCGTCTAAGGCATGAAATTTAGCCAAAGATGAATAGATGTACCTAAAGGAGGCAGGCACCTACCACCATGTAACACGCCAACAACCAGCCGTGATAATGCCTCCGCGTCGTACTCCACCACCCCCATGAGGCAACACAGCATTGCACGGCACCCCATGATTAGCTTTTCACGGTCAACAGCAATCTTGCTTGTGTCTGTTCTGTCGCAAGACGTGTGAAAGACGGCAAACTCGGTGCGGCAGCTTCGAGGTGTTCGTGATTGAACCACGCCATCGTATTGCAAAGGCCGGCCGGGTGGGTGATGATGCCTGACCCGGTCCAGCCACGAAGCCGCTGAACCGTGTCCGAACACAGTTTCGCCAAAACTGCACGACAACGCCTGCACAGTCGACTCTCGTTATAGTGATACTTGATCTAGTGATCCTTGATGAAATAAAGGCTCACATTGTTGAAAGGGCTGGTGTTGGAAGGAAGGGCCTGTGCCTGACAGTACCGGAAAGAAGGGGTGAGAAGGTGACTGGTGGAAGGGTCTGCATCTATTATAGATTAGTTTATACGAAGCTCTACAACCTAGTTACTTAGAAGAAACTTCATAAGACTTACCTCTCACATCACTACTGTCCAGTCGGCCCTTCAATTACCACCCACTACCATTAAAGGTACTCTCATTTTCAATGATAATAGCAATCAGGTGTCCCGAAATACGTTTTTACCCGTCACTCCTTAGTTCGTAGAGAGATAGTAGCCTTATAAGAATAGAGTCAACACAGAGTTTCAGTCCCGACCATATCCTTGTATCGAAAGGCAACTGTAGTAAGGGGTGTCGAGTTTCGGTCCCGACCGTATCCTTATATCGAGAGGCGAGTGTAGTAAGGGGTGGTCGTTAGCAGTAAACGGGGGGATAGGGAAGGAAAAAGAGGAAGTGGAGAGGGGAGAGGGAGCGAGTATGTAGATAAAGCTGTGGGAGAGGACACGAGGATGTAGGGATGGGGTGCCAGAGTTGCAACTCCGCCTTGGAGTCAGCAAGTGTTACAGGAAACACGAACACTGCTCCTAAGTCAAGGAATAAGGATAATACGAGTGATGGGTTATGATGCGAGTACGGTCGGGTAACGAGGGAACAAGCATAGAAAGGTACCGAGGGGTGTGGGGGCACCGGGTGTAACCACACTAGTATTAGGCTGTTGTGAGGGCACGCTTACTATTGGGTGTCTCACCCGGAACGGAATAGAAGCGGGGCTTATGGCTGCAGGCCATTCTACTTAAGGAAGTAGCTCTAGGACAATAGCCTGATACAGCTCGGTTACTGGCAATTGCAGGGGTTCATGGTTACGTGTCGGAATTAGAATGGAGGAACGGAACTATGCGGGGGCGCTTTTCTATTGGGATTATCTTCGGGTTGATTGTCTTATTCTATTATCGTTATCTCATTAGTATTAGAAAGCGGGCCTTGGCATAGGTTCCAACATGTATAAATAGGGTAGGGTTCCGCCTCGTCTTAGTGGCATCATCAGTCACTCAGCGAGCGGAATCCGGTTTACAATATTACAAGTTTAAAAGCTACAGAACTATCGCTTAGCATTGGCATTTCCCCAAACAGCAAGTCAGGTCAACGTGGCTAGATTTGGGATTTGCTATCTCAGGAGGTCCCTCCCTTCTAATACGTACCTACAAGTAGAGTAGGTATCCCGTGGACTATCATTATGTGGTAGTAGGGATCTTAGTGCTCCCCGTGTTTTTCTTGTTTTTTTTTGTCGCCTGTGGCCGCAAAGACGCCGAGATTTGACCCCCGGTGCTCCAGCATAAAAGGCGCAGGTGCGAGTAGATTTTTATAGAGAAGATGAGAACGACCCAGATATGCTCCAAACCAACACCCCTCCGACCTTCGTGGTAAGCCAACATAATCCAGATAACCCCCGGAAGAGGCCAATTCTCTTTTCAGAGATGCTTCGAAAGAGTGAAACCGAAGAGCGAAGAATGTACTTTATAACTGATGAAGAGAAACAAAGGAGCGAGAGCGAAAGCTCTCTCTTTTTAGTTATAAACCTAGCGGCCAAACTACCTCTACTGTAAGAGTACACATAGCATAGAACAACGTCTAGCTTTTACAATGAAACGTTTAACAATAGAATTGTTAACAACAAACAACATGACACCCTGTAGTACAACCACCCGCACCAAGGTAGTTTAGTTTAAACAACGTGGGTGTTTAAACAAACTTGGGTATAGTTTAGAGTAAACCAGGAGGTTTAAAATAAACCAAATTGTGGTTTAGCGGTCTGTCTAAACAACAGATTGTGGTTCAATCAAACCACATCTTGTTTGTTTAAACCATCAAATCGACTGTTCTTAACACAAGACTTTTGATGTGGTTTAGCTAGACTACATAGCGTTGTTTAAGTACACAGTGTTAGTTTAGATATGTTTAGTCTAGTTTGATTAAACAACAAATTGTGGTTTAAATAAATACGGTTTATTCCAGCATCGCTACAGTGGTGTATGTAAAGAACAAACTGTGGTTTAAATAGACAGGGTATTTCCAAGAATCGCGACAGTGGTGTATATAAACAACAAACTGTGGTTTAAATAAACGTGGTTTATTCCAGCATCGCTACAGTGGTGTATGTAAACAACAAACTGTGGTTTAAATAGACAGGGTATTTCCAAGCATCGCGACACTAGTGTATATAAACAACAAGCTGTGGTTTAAATAAACATGGCTGAGTTTCCCGTGTAGTTTACCCAAACACCAAGGTGTTTGGATAAACGATATGTTTGGGGAAATGCCAATGCTAAGCGATAGTTCTGTAGCTTTTAAACTTGTAATATTGTAAACCGGATTCCGCTCGCTGAGTGACTGATGATGCCACTAAGACGAGGCGGAACCCTTCCCTATTTATACATATTGGAACCTATGCCAAGGCCCGCTTTCTAATACTAATGAGATAACGATAATAGAATAAGACAATCAACCCGAAGATAACCTCAATAGAAAAGCGCCCCCGCATAGTTCCGTTCCTTCATTCTAATTCCGACACGTAACCATAAACCCCTGCAATTGCCAGTAACCGAGCTGTATCAGGCTATTGTCCTAGAGCTACTTCCTTAAGTAGAATGGCCTGCAGCTATAAGCCCCGCTTCTATTCCGTTCCGGGTGAGACATCCAATAGTAAGCGTACCCTCACAACAGCCTAATACTAGTGTGGTTGCACCCGGTGCCCCCACACCCCTCGGTACCTTTCTATGCTTGTTCCCTCGTTACCCGACCGTACTCGCATCACACCCCATCACTCGTATTATCCTTATTCCTTGACTTAGGAGCAGTGTTTGTGTTTCCTGTAACACTACTCCCCCTTCCTAGACGTCGCCCTCGACCGTTAAAACCTCTCTATGATAAAAACCCTGTGGGAAAAGTCATAGAGTAGGAAAGGTATCGAGCTAGTCTTCCCTAGTCCGTTGTCGTTTCGGAGGCCGACTCGAGTCGATGGCTGGCCCTTGACTCCGTGTGTAGGGCCGAGTATTCGTGGTTGGTTTGAAGTTCTCATCTAAGAGCGCTTCTTGAGGATCGGGTGTTGCGAGTCGTTTTCGTGTGTTCTGTTGTCTGCCAGGGTTGGGATCTTCTCGATAAGGTCGCAACAACATCTCGTGGAATACGTCATGAACCTTCCATTCTACCGGAAGATTCAACCTATAAGCCCGGTTTCCTACAGCCGCGGCAACCTCGAAAGGGCCTGTAAACTTATCTGACCATTTATTGTAACCGCCGAGGTTCCGAGTATCCAGCAAAACCTTTTGACCGATTGTGAACCGCTGAACTGCTGGCCCTGGTCTTGACGCCATTCTGTCAAAGGTCTTCTGCAGCGTGTCTCTTGCTGACTCATGGGCTAGGAGAAGGTCTTCCAGGTAGGTGCTTCCCTTGGCATCCAGCTGTCCGATTTTCGCATCCGTTGGCCAATCTGTTCGTGGGTGGAAACCATAGTTACAGTAGAACGGCGATTGCCCTTTCGACGAGTGCTTCGCATTATTATATGCATACTCGCAAATCGGTAGTAGGTCCTTCCATTTCTTTCCTGTTCCGGCGGTATAGGCCCGGATGTAGGATTCGAGGTGCTGGTTGGTCTTTTCTGTTTGT